CATGTTAAATAAATAAAATTTCTATGCTGTACTACCACAGGTAAAAGGTGATTCAGCTGTCACAAAATCAGGATTATACTTCACTATCAAGTTAGATTAAAAAAAGGACATTTCTAAAGCTGTGTCAAATGAAACAAAAGTTCCTGTAAATTTACTACCAGGGAATCTAAACCTGAATTATGGATACCAATTTTGTCTGTGTAAATGAGGTATTTGTTCAATGGTGTCTCCAACATAACTTTATTGTTTTAATAGTGTTAAACTAGAAGCGAGTACAGTAGCTAATTCTTTTTCAGTCTGTTTTCTGGCTTGAATATACATACCAACTCTTGATCAAGTTGAAAAATCTGGTGTAAAAATCTACCTTGGTATCGAAAGTATTTTTGCAAAGATATTTTTATTTATTATATTTATTGATTCTTGCTTAAGGGTGGGAAATTAAGTAAATAGAACACCTCCACTACTGCTCTGTGCAATTGGAGATGAATTCTCTTCACACACAACTACATACATCTGACTCCAGAGCTTCTAAGTTCCCACTTGGAGGGGTTTATTTGTTCCACTTTGAAGAAACTGATGAAGCAATTTCAGATAGTTAGACCTAACAGCGGATATTAATAATCTCTAAATAACTAGCAAATGATACAAGTGACCACCAAGTCATCTCAGTAATTCTGTTCAGCCAAGAAATAGTGTAAAAATACTGTAAAAAGAATCACTGAATCTGATATTACTTAAGTGCAGATCCTTTTCCTTTCTATAGTTTTGGAATCCTGAACATTTTAAACTCTAGGAACAGCAGTGTTATGTCTTCATCCTGTATTTTTTCTTAATTTCTTTTAAAATTCTTTGATTTCATTTTATTAGTAGATAATAATTATTTATACAATTTGGGAACAGCCCTGTTTTCCCTAGGGGTTGCCGTCAATAGTCTTTTTGTTAGTTGGTTCCAAAAATCCAATTTTTGTGGCACACTCATTTTTCACCAGTAGGATCTCATACTGGAGTTCCATCAACTCCCCAGAGCGAGCTGTAAAGCTGCAGTTCAATAAGTCACCTAAAATGTGGCAATCTCTAAGTCTGTGTCTCTGTCAGTAAATTAAAAAAAAGGCCAGGACGCGATCTCGGTCTCTAAAGGGCAAATGGCATGTCACACGCTGAACTGTGCCTGGCACGGAGAGTGCAGTTGGTGCACAAGTCAGTGCTTGTTCTTCTTTTCCTCACTCTAGCTGTATAAGAAGGAAAGAATAAGTTTCAAGGGCAAACGTATCCTGCCGTCACTTCCAGCTAGTGAAAAAACAGTAGAGTGCTATGCAACCTCATCTTGATGCATATGTGCTATTAGCAATAATGAGGCTTGAATGAGTTCACTGCCTTTTCTTATTATAGTCAGTGCTATGTTCAGTGTATCTTGTCTTACTTGTTTAACTTTACGAGAGCAATATCTTATAAAGTAAATGTATTTTGCATCACACATAAGTATATCTTAACTATTCTCATTTCCAGGAAAGACTTGCCGAAGAAATTGAGAAACTGAGATCTGAACTGGATCAAATGAAAATGAGGGCTGGTTCTTTAATTGAACCCACTCTGTCAAGGTAATATTTAATGACAAAAGTTTCCCCACTTTGAGTTGAAATAGAACATAAATATAAGTGTCAGACCTTTACAACGGGGATGTGTGCAGACCATGCATAAAAATAGTCGTGTGTTTCTTTAAAAATGTAAAATCTGTGCAATGATTATTACTGCTTCTTTCATAGATAAACAGCGCCTTAGAGCAGTGAGTATATACAGTATACTGAAATATTACTGAGATTAAGGAAAGTCTTTTAAATTATGAAATATTTTCAAAAGTATATCCAAATACCTTTTTTTTTTTTCCCAGGAGACCTTAAAAATAAAATTGAAACCATCAGCTTTAATGCTGAAACTGATCAGTTTTTATGATTTGTTTTATGATCAGTTTTTATGATTTATGATTGTATTTATTCTACCAATTATATCTAATAATAATTTTTTTATTAGCGAGAAATAACTCAGCTTTGCTTAGTGCGTACCATAAGACCACAGATCTGCAGATAAGATGAATGCAATATTCGGAGAGAACTGAAAATATCATAACAGGACATTAAACATTATGCCTCTTCTTGTTGCAAAAGTAATATGGGAACAGTAGTAATACAGATATCATAAAAATAGCTACTAACAGCTGAAATTAATTTTAACAGCTGAAATTAGTTTAATTTTCTAATTCTAGAAAGTACTTCTTGCCTAAAAGTATCCCTCAAAAGAAAGTTGTTACTTTGATAGCTGTGTCCTGTTTTCATAACAAGCAACATGTTAACTTTTAAAAGCTGCCAGCCAAAGCTCATGGACCAAGACTAAATTCAGAGCACTGTAGTTCTCTAAAATTATTGTTGGACAATTTTTTGGTTTGCATCAGGTGTCGTCTGCCCATTGTTTCCTCAGACATCTTGCTTAGTACCTGGACATGGTTTCTCCCTCAACCTTTTGCTGTTTCTTGGTATAATATCTTTCTATACATGGGGAAGTGCAAATTGATGAAATTCAGAATGTGATGCTTCTAACTATTTGAATTTTTGTTCCTTTGGGAGTAGTATAAGTGTGACTCCAGGCACACACAACACTTTTTTGAGAGTGCTTGCGAGGACACAGACTATTGACCTCTGCAACAAACAGCAGAGACGTTTTTGGAGCATCCATCCTTGGTGAGCAGCAGCCTTTCTTGCTGGGTAGATGAGTGTCATTAGCTTGTGCTCTGTAGGTAGGAGTCTGATTAGCCCTTGTCAAAGGGCTGTTTGAGCTTGATAAGCTGTCTAAATGTCTTGGGAATTCAGCAGGTTCCCCTAAACCACTATACTTCCCCTTCTATGGCCTCACCTCACGAAGTTACCAGCCCTCTCGGGAATAGGGAGCTATGAGCATTAAATACTTATTGTTCTCGGCCGATACTCAGTTCTGTATTTGCAGGAGTTTGTTCTTTCAGCAGAATAATGAAGCTGGTCAGCAGATAAGTATCTGCTGCCAGAGACTGGAACCTCAGCCGTTTCTTTTTTGCTGCCAACTTGTTGCACAAGTGCCAAGTATTATCAATTATCGGAGCAAAGTTCTATTACAGTAAATACTGTACACAGGAAATAAAAAACAGTCACTACCCTAAAGCATTTACTGTGTAAGCGATGAGACATACAGACAAACTAAACATAGAAAAATCCCCACAGATTATTGTCTGGTGCTGTAGATGGAGGGCTCAGGACATTTGTAGCCCAACTTGTCAATTGTTCTTATTACTGTAATGACAAAAGTGAGTTTTAGAAAATTTTTAAAGGTAAAATCATGATTTTTCTAATATTCTGGAAGTTCCTACCAAGCATGACAGGAAGCATAAGAGACGATAAACTGATGGTTATTCAGGAAAAGACATTTATGACATCAGCATGAGCTCTAATGTATGCTTTAACCAGAACCTAAGTTCTAAAATATTATTCAGTATCAGTGACATTCTAATGTATCTGATATGATTACTATGGCACATACTCACATTTCAGGAATTCCGGTACCTCTTTTTTTAATTTATTTTCTTATGGTATGTATTTTTTATAAAAGAAACTGTATTAGCACTTGAAATCCTTCCATTATTATTTTAGATTTGTCACAGCACTTATAATACCAGACAGTAGTTATGTTATGTTTCTTCATACCATTCTGTCAAAGTAGCTTGTAGTAGAGCCTTTACATTTTTCCATGATCTTTTTGCATTTCCCATTTATCAATAAACAGGCACCACAGTTATAATATTTTACTTTATTAAGGTGATGTTTGAAATTTGACACCAATGCTTCAGTCCTCCAAATACGAGTGTGTTTTAATTCAAATTAAGTTCTTCTAGAAGAAAATCAAGGCATCTCTATGTTTAGAAACAGACACAGACCTAGAGCCCAGGAAAACAGTCACGCTTACAGCCTGCATTTTTCACCATATATATATGTGTGGTTTTCTGAATTATTTCCTTCATTTTGGGAGGCAGACGTTATCTTACTTACCTATTTCATGTTGAGGATTAAAGTCATCATTTTGTTGAACAGCATTCTTTTCAAAGTGAGAGAAGTGTTTAAGAACAAAACTTATTCCTATTCTATTACCCAAAACTGATTATTAACATTGCTGTGAACCCTATGAGTTGTCTGTAGGTGATTGTAAGCATTTTTCCCAAGTTTAGGGGTAAAAAAAAAAATAATGTAAGTACAACATTAAACTTTTGGTTTATGCTCTTATAGATAGTGAAATGTCAAGCATGTTTTAGGAGTCGCTGTAAACAAATACATACTTTGTGGTTTTATTAGTATAGTTACATTTCATTTTTTTGCTATAATCATGCTATTCATACGTTTATATGTGGAGATTGCTTATGTGTGAAGAACTAGACGTTGTTCAGGTTTCCACTGCTGTGGTTGGATGCTCACATGGTGCATGGAGCCTTTGCTCTAGTGATGGCTACACAGCCCGTGGGCAGGATGCTTCTATTGCACCACGCAGGGGACTTTTACTGCTGGTGTTTGACCAAGGGCAGAAAGGCCGGGGACCATGGTCTGCAGCCAAGAAAAGATATGCTGAAGTCATCACGTATAAGCCTCAGCGCAATGTATCAAGACTTACCAGGACTACAGGAAAAAATGGGGGTTAAAACTCTCAAAAGCATCATCAAATAAAGATGAATCATTCATAATCAATGTTATATGTTGCAGGGCAGTTCAGTAATGTTTTCATAATGTAGAACAGAGACTTACAGCAGGAAAGCGTTATAGATATCTTCACTCATGAACATTTAACATCCTTACAGTAACCCCAGGCATATTAATTCAGGAGAGTAATGAAAGGAAAATATACAGGATAGTACATTCAGCAGCCAGCTCTGTTAATTATCCTGAAATCTGCTTGGTTTTTCATGTTAAAGTTTTGAATGAAAAGTTTTACTATGCACGTCCTTAATTTTGAAAAATCAAAAATATTCTTTGTTTTTCTTAATTTTCTCATATTATGATTTCAAATTTTCACTTGTAAATGATATTTTGTTATGTGTTTTTGACAATTATTATGTGATACATAATAGAAAAAGGAAAAGAAATCTGTGTTCCTAGACTGAAGGTCGTTGGGTTCTTGTTGTTGTTACTACTCTCTGTCTACTTCTGTGTTCTTTTCATAGGCCTCACCTTGACACATCTGCGGAGCTGAGGTACTCTGTGGGCTCACTGGTTGATAGCCAGTCTGACTATCGGTCAACTAAAGTGATAAGGCGACCTAGAAGAGGCCGGATGGGAGTACGCAGAGATGAACCAAAGGTTAATCTCTAATATCTTCACATATATTCCTTGATAAAAGAATGTATTTCAGGCTGTTAAGCTTACAGTTTGTGTTTTTCCAGGAAAAAATACAACAACAACAAAAAAAACCTCACAACCCACCAAACAAGAAAACACCAACCAAATAGCAGGGTTTTTTTCCGTACACGCTCAGACGAGTACTGTTGTACTAAAATGAAGACAGAAAAGGCTTTTCAGTACATTTTCCTGATAGTAATTTTACACACCATTAGAAATTATATGAAAGTACATCATCTGTGGTAATATTGCAAGTATTAATTATCATTGAATTACTCTTTGAATAAGTATTCTTAAATGTTAGTTGCTTTCCTTTCCCATTTTATAGAAGTTCAACTTTGCAGTTGTTTTCCATGGAATAAGCCATATACATCCTAATTTCTGCTCAGGTAAAATCACTTGGAGATCATGAGTGGAATAGGACCCAGCAGATTGGCGTTTTGAGCAGTCATCCATTTGAAAGCGACACTGAAATGTCGGATATCGATGACGATGATAGAGAAACGCTTTTCAGCTCCATGGACCTCCTGTCACCAAGCGGCCATTCCGATGCCCAGACTCTGGCCATGATGCTTCAGGAGCAGCTAGATGCAATCAATAAAGAAATCAGGTGTGTAGCCTGCACCAGCTGTGATGCACTTATGATTACAGCTTCAAGCTTTCTTTAGTGCATGAATTCAGGTACGGTTCATAACAATTAGGAAACCACTTGTACATTTAAAGGATTGATAATGTGTCCAGTTTTCATAGGAGAGTATCGATTGTGTGAAGATAACAATGATGTCTTCATTTCCTAACCATAGAAATTTCTTTCAAAAAATCTTCCAAGCGAAGAACTGCTGGCCAGTTGAAGAGAAGTACATTAGAGCAGGCCAACACGTGGCAGATTTGATAGAACACTACTCATAGTCCTTTTTTCAAGGTCTTTTTCACTGTTCTGCATGACTCTACTTACTCAGTGATGACCTCCTATCAGAAATATTTTATTTCAGTGCTCTTCATGCTTTCTTCTGGTAATTATTCCTATGTTACATCTAATATAAGCAACATTTTCTAAGACATGGTTTTGATTTTATAAGGAGGCATAGAATGTGATTTTTCATGCTCCAAGTTGGGTTATAGTGCTTGGAAATAGGTGGTAAATTAAACGTATCTTAATTTCTATGCAAATTTAATGGAGTGATAGAAAATCCAATGACATTTTAATTAAGTGATTTTTATATCTGAAACCATATTTTAGGCTTAAAGCATTTGTATGTGTTTTTCAGGAAGGGGTAACTTTAAAAAAATTTGGTATATGAAAAACATCCTCTCATTAGTGACTGTTTCTCTAGAAGGAGATGAAGGAGATGTTCCTAAATGTATTAGTGACTTTCTAGTAATACTATAGACAGAAAGACTGTGGTTAGAAATATAATCAAAACCAGATTACCTTTTGCCAGATCTCAGCCTTTCTCTGAGCAAGGTAACTTTAAAGGCAGAACTCTATTGGAATGTATTGAATTTTAATAACTTTTCTGTTCAGCGGGAGACTTTTTTTTTTAATAGATCTACAGTTTTGCATTTTCATTACTCCCAGAATTTTTTCATTCAGATAGGATTACACTGCTATTTTCTCAAAGTCTTTTTATACCTGTCAAGATAGAGTCAAAAAAGAAATTTTGTTGTTGGGAGGGTAAATCTTAAAACAGTGTATGTAAAAGAGAGAAGAACCTCATTCATATTTTCTGTTATTACAATGAAGTCAGCACTGTGACCAATTCAGCAAGCTGTAGATGACTTAGAAGCTTGACTTAGATGTTAGGTACTTCAAAAAGGAAGCAAGGGTGCACATTGTATAGAGCCATTTTTCTGGAGGTCCACTGAGAGTAGTTGATTTCCCCTACTGCTAAGCTTATACTGAAGTATGGGCTTTCATTACCATCACCATCATTATTAAAGAACCAGGTAACTAATTTTGTATTCTTTTTTTAATGTGTTTCAGGAAAAATGGTTCTACAAGGGTAGTCTTATAAACTGTACTGCATTTCATATTTTCTTGGTTTGTGTTGTTTTTTTTTTCCTTTTTCTTGACAAACACTGTAAGGTTTTAACAAATGATTGGAGATATCAAAAGAGATTAAAAATGTATTTTGCCATAGATTTGTTTTATTATACAAGATGATTCAGAATTTAGATTGCTAAAATGAGAAAGATTGTTATAATTACCTTTCAAAATATTATTTGCCTTTAAGTTTCTGCCACACCTCATCTCAGAAAGAACTGTAAATATTTTATAGAAATTTTGAAATGGATGTTACAGAAGATTTATCACAGCACAGGAATTTGTAGGTTTCTATTTTCAGTGTAATATGGTTTCATTTATTGTGCTTGCTTCATTTCACTCAGAAAATCCTGGTTCACAATTTCAACCTCCCCCAGACTTTGTATTCTCTCATTTAACCTTGATCCCTCATACTTTTTCCTCTTCTTCGCAAAAAAAGACTCCTCCTGGCATGGGTTTATGGGCAAAGGACTTACAAACAAATGTTTGATTTTGGACCAATTTTTTTTCATTCTAGGTGCAATCACAATCAAAAACCAAAACTAAAGAACCCAACAGAAGCATCCTATTGAGGCTGTATATGTTTAAGAAGCTTACATTTGTTGCTAACTGAGCTATTTTAATGAAATTCACTTAGAACTCAATGTTTTAGAAACAACTGTCGTTTTTTCATCAATTTGTAGGGATGAAACGGACAATTTGTTTTGCATGTTCTCTTGTTCTATTAATATGGATTATCTTAGCAATTCCCTTCTTAAAGGCCCAATTTCATTTTGCTTTAAATTTGTGTTCATGCTTTAGCAACAGAAAATCAGATGAAGCCAACTTAAGATTGGAATTAGTTTCCTATGGTAAATCGGATTAACTCTCCTCCCCTATACTGTCTCCTTTGCAAAGGAACCAATCTTCCTGAAATGTCATATGTCAAGTCTTGTTGGGCAGATCCTTCAAACGGTTTTTGAGGATAGAGGAATTAAGAAAAAGGATTTTATAATTCTAGTGATTAAAAAGTACCCTTTTCAGTATTGTTTTGGAGTTGATCTATGATATTAATCTTTGTTTTCTTTTCCTTTCAAATGAGATTTGAAAGTAAATTGTTTTTAGTTTTGCTTTTGGGGTATGCAGAGACAAATACAACCATGTTCTTCTTTTATTTAATAAGGTTAATCCAAGAAGAGAAGGAGTCGACAGAACTGCGTGCTGAAGAGATAGAGAACAGAGTGGCCAGCGTGAGTTTGGAAGGCTTAAATCTAGCCAGAGTTCACCAAGGTACCTCCATTACTGGCTCGGTGACGGCATCGTCACTTGCAAGCTCATCTCCTCCCAGCGGACACTCAACTCCTAAACTCACCCCTCGCAGTCCAGCCAGGGAGATGGACAGAATGGGGGTTATGACGCTGGTAAGAAACTTTGTGATGCCAATTTTAGGTGTGATATTTCTATTATTAAATACGTCATCTTTTCACCGTATGAATGGCTCATCTCTCTAATTATTTAATCACTTTTTCTTCAGAGATACAGATAGGAAATTCTCTAGAATATGGATGTTTGGGTGGGTTTGGGTTTTGTTATTGTGTTTTGGAGCATTGCATGATTCACCCGGGACATAATGATCTGCGGATCACGGGTCTCAGGCTGTGGGCATACAGACTGTGGAATTAATAAGAAACAGAACTGATCACTGGAATTACTGTAATCGAGTTATATGTAAAAAATTTTTACTAATGAAAAGCTCTGAAGTGATACAGTTATTACACAGTAGTCTGTGGGACTATTGCAGAGTTTAAACCTCCAGGAAATGTCTAGAAGACGTTAAAACCTACTACTACTTCATATATATGATCATTTGGATATACTTCTATATTTGGTGTACTCTTTAATACTTGCAGGATTTTGTATGTATTCTTCATTCTTCTTAATGTTACCCAGAGAAGCTGTGGATGCCCCATCCCTGGAAGTGTTTAAGGCCAGGTTGGATGGGGATTTGAGCAACCTGGTCTGGTGGAAGGTGTCCCTGCCTGTGGCACGGGGGTAGAACTGGATGGTCTAAGGTCCCTTCCATGCAAACCATTCTGTGATTCATGACAGCATATCAAGCATTGAAATAAGTGCTTTGTTTTCCAATAATTAATTTAACTGGTATATTTCAACATTACAAGCAGCACACATAAGTAGATACCAAGCCATCAAATTATCATGCAAACCATTTCTAATATTACTGTACCTTTGAGGACATATTCTGAAATGTCTGGCTTGATTTGAAAAGGGATTTGCAAAAAATTTAATTTTGATCCTAGACAAAAAGAAATGGTGCAACAGTAGGTAAGTGAAGGTAGTATGTGTCAACGTATTTAAGATGTACCACTCTGTGTCTGCACTCTTACCAATATCAGGGTTCAGTGTTCGGCGTGGGCTACAAACCAGTTTGGAGCCTGGGTGAATTCATCCCTTTAAGCATTAGGAAAGATTCAAACCAGCCCACTCTGCTGATCTTTACGTACAGGGAGGAGAACAGGATATGCGTAACCCCATATTTTTATTTGCTAATTCTCTGGTAATCGTAATGTCACCAATGTCCCCTCGTGGTCTGTTCCTGGGAAACAGCGGCACTGGTTCCCTGTGGAGCCTCTCAGCGGAGGGGAAATGAGCCTTGATCTCAATCAGCAGAAATTAACTCTCCTAGCTGAGAAGGTTGCTAAGAACAGGTAGGAGTGGAACCTGACTGTTCGTTCTGCTCAGCTGAGAGTAGGGACTTTTGCCTACCATCACTTGGCTGAGTACTCCTGTTTCCTGGGAACTGACAACTACTTGTATTCACCTCTACCTCTCCTGGTTTAGGATGGTCTTTGCTGCCTTCTTGGGAGCTAATGGCAGCAGAGAGGCGGTCAGGGCTGGCAGTCGTGGCAGACTGCAGCACTGATTCTTTGCTGCCCCTGGTTCCCACTGCGGAACAGCAGAAATGAAAATGTTGGTGGCACAGACCGCTGTGGAGGAGGTGGGTGTGTAGGCTGCTGCGGTGCCACCCACGTCACCAAAGCAGCACCTTCCCGAATACGCAGTTTGGCTCCATTTCAACCAACCGTTTAAACTAACACTCTGGCTACAGATAAATAGCAATGGTTAAACTGACCTTCCAGCAGACACCTGCGCTGTCTGGTTGCCTTAATTTGGGCAGAGTAGCTTTGGGTCAGTAGGGTCATCGGATTAAATACAAAATGACAGCAATAACCTCTGCACTTCAGGTTGCCATGGCCTCACTGGCGCCCAACTCTAGCTGTGCTGAAGCTCGGATGAGTATGTCTTTATGAGTTGCAGTTGAATTCTTGACATATCATAAGCTGTAGACGTAGCACCCCACTGCACACTCAGCAGCACAGCCCACAGCTCACCCTCATCAACCACTTCAGGACACTTCTGCCCTGTACTCCTGTTGCAGCAGGAGTTCAGTGGTGAATCATCTCCTCCTTACTGCCTGGGGACAGACACAACAGGCTGTCGGACATCCTCTAAGTGGAAATTTTGAGTTGGGAAGAGTTCTGTAGAGGTCTGGTCTCTAGAGCCCAAACTGCCAAATGATCCTGTAGGGGCTGGCTGGAGCAGCAGTACTTCATGGGTTTCCACAGCCCAGGTCCATGCAGTAAATAAATTCTGCAGAGTATCTTCAGCTTTCCTTGAATGAATAAGACATATACCAAAAATAAATATTAAAAGAGGGTTGAACAGGACACATTCTAACAGCCTTCTACTGCAGTACAGGTGATGAGTGAATTTGTATCCATTGACTGAAAATGCCGGTCACTTTAGTATGGGATAACTGGAGAGAAGGACCCCCTTGGTATTTGTTGATGATACGTTGTGTTTATACTTCGTGAGACACTAATACATTTGTAATATTAGATAAAACTGAAAAGAATAAAAATCTCTGTGTTGGAAGTAGTGGAAGGATTTATATGAAAATTCCAAAAATAAAAAGTGCTACTATAAGCTTGCGATATCCTATTGTTTGCTAAGCTTATGAAAGTGAAGGAGATTGCAACTTTAGAAAAAATAACTGCTTTTGCAGAATGGCCTGTTTGTCAGGGGTTATCTTATGTTATGACACCAAGTGTATAATCAGTATATAATACGGATAGTATTAAATTAATGAAATCTCTGCTTCCCATTTCTCAATGTGAGAAGAACAAATGTGTGGCATTTTGTTATGCTCAAATAAGATTTATTAATCATTCTTCTTTTGCTGTTGCTGCTTTTGTTACCAATCTAAGCCAAGCGACCTAAGGAAACATCGGAGAAAGGTATGATACTGGGGGGTTTGTTTAAGTTTGGGAGAGCACATTTATCATATTCCTCTGCTATTTAGATAACCATGTTCCTTGCCAGCCACCATATCCCCTCCACTCCTTTTTGTTCGATTCCTGAACATAATCATTTTAATCCTACCTGGAAAGGCTTGCAGGGGTCACAGCGAAGCCACAGAGTCAAGGACCACCAGTGATACCTTGCAGTAGTAGCCTCTACAGCACAAACTTAAAGGAATACAGTTAAAAGAAAAGTGTGGACACAAAATAATTGCCTTCAAATGTATTTTGACTATTATTCTTGCTGGAGGAACCAAAGTCATATTACCTGAAATCTTCTGGAGCAATATAGTTGTTTACGGATTTGGCACTGAATATGGGATTTACCTTTACATGAGAGGAAACTGTGTTTAAGATAAATCATTATATGCTGTGACAAAATTCATTTTTGTTCATGCTTATTTTCAAGCATTTTGACCATTCTGTTAACAGGCTATGGAGAGAGTGGTCCTGTTTATGTCTGTATTTACCTTCTCCCTTACATCCTTGAGAAACTTTGACTTGAATAATCCTATTTAGTGCAAGAGACCTGCTCACATCTAAGGTTATTTTCATGTTTAGACCTTTAGTGTATCAACCTATTTGGCATATAAGGAATTAATTTCTTCTCCAAGTGTAATATTTTCTTTCAAATATGTACTTTAAGCTGCCATATTCAGGCAGTTGCTCTTTCCCAATAGCCACTTTCAAAAATAAGAATCCTTACAATTTGCTCAAAAAATTGCACTTGAAACCATACATGCTTCAGTTCACTTGACAAATCTGTGCAGTATATGTTGAAACTTTCTTGGAAAGCTAATCTGCTCTCAATGGAGTCTCTCTGCCCCAGATTGCAGTAGTTGAAGAAGATGGGCGTGAAGATAAAGCCACAATCAAATGTGAAACTTCTCCTCCTCCGACACCCAGAGCTATCAGAATGACTCACACCCTTCCTTCTTCATACCACAATGATGCCAGAAGGTAAAATGTTTGTAACATGAATTGGTACTTTACAGTTTTACCATGTATTACTCTTTTCAAATGGTGGTGTTTAACTATTCCAAAATGACCCAATTTCTTCGCATTTCTTCTTGGCAATTGTTTCCACTGCCATGAGAGAGAAAGCCTTATCCTTTGTCTTTTGCATGAGCCTGAGAACATTTGTCAGTGCTAAAATACATGCTGGATATTTCTGTTTTAAGATACAGTTTTGATCACTACTAGAAGTAGTGATACTGCAAATCCTAGAAAGACAAACAGCAGGCCAATTCCTGTATTTTTCATCAGTTGTTCTTAGCAAATTGAAAATGTTTATTTTCAACCTTTTTTAATAAGATCCAGTCAGCCTGATAGAGAAAATGTGATCTTTTATTGCTCTACATGTTGCTAAATCATTTAAAGAAGATGATGTGATTGTTTCACTTGTTGGGACATCATTACTAAAGTATGACCAATTAATTTGTTGGCAGAGCTGTTCAGAAGAAAGTAAAAAAAAATAACACTTCAACATTTGCAGGTAATCTATTCCATTTCTTTATTATCATTTTGTAGTAGTTTGCCTGCTTCGTTGGAGCCAGAAAGCATCGGTCTTGGCAGTGTCAATAGCAGCCAGGACTCACTGCACAAAGCTCCCAAGAAGAAAGGAATCAAGTCTTCAATAGGACGTTTGTTCGGTAAAAAAGAGAAGGCTCGACTCGGACAGCTCAGTAAGGAATTAGTGGTAACAAGCCAAGGTCACCATTTCACAGTCATTTTTCCATTTTTAATTTTGCTTCTTTTCAGTTTCCAATTTGCTTATTTTTCTCTTTTGTCTGGCAGAACTTTCCCATTAAACTTCATTGCTATCAGCAATTATATTTGTCAAGAGTTTGCTATGACTGTAACACAAATGAAAGGAGATTTCTGGCACAAATTACTAGAGTCATCCTCTTCACTGAACCTACTGCTTCAATAGTCTCTTGAATTAGGGTAGAAATGCTAACAGTGTATTCTCAAATAACCAAAGAGGAGGTGAGAAAGTAGTAAGTAATAAACCCCACTATAAGAGGTGTAACTATGTGATGTGGAAGGTACTTGCAAGTAACCGTAGTTGCTTTTCAGATTTCAGTGTGTCAATGGATGTCTGCAGTGCCTATGACTGAATGTCCTCACCATATTCTTTCAATTAGTTATGCAGCTCACAGCAGTGCTTTGTATTCTTCCTACTTCTTATGCCCTTTTCCTTTGCCAAGACTTTAGTCTCATTTATTCCTGGTAAAAATTTTCCTCTTTGATATTCCATAGGATATGTCTATACCACATGGGGGGAAAAAAAAAAATCCATCATAGCGTAACTTTATTTAACTACCTTAGGTAGCATAAGCAATGGAAGGTGAAGTGACAGTCTTCGGCAAAGGCTCATAGTCTACATGCCCAGACAGGCAGATACGTCCTTAGCGGCGGTCTGTATTGCTAGGCTATCTGATTTAACTAGTTTAAGATTAGCATATGTATGTATGCCAACACAAGCATCAAACTGGAACAGATATGTCAGTAAAACAGAAATACTAGCTTTTTCCTAGTCACGAAGATGTCACATAGTGCGAATTTGTGAGGCACTAAATTTTTACTGCCATGGTGACCACATAACACCTGTAAAAGAATTTTAGGGGTCTGCAGTAACTGTAAATGCTTAAGCAATTTGTAAGCCTGAAATTAAAAAACTAAATTCATATTAAAACATGTCCTTATCACATCTAACAAACCCATCACTAAAATCATACAGAAAAAATAAGGTAATATTAAGGTCAAAGTATCAGACTAAAATCAAATTACTGAGCATTCTGCATTTATCCTCCAACCTTTCTCTTCTCTGCCTGTGAGAACCTTGTATTCTTGAAAAAAATAATTTCTAATTGCAATTTAAATTCCCTTTTTTCTCACTATGGGAAGAATAAAACTGATTTAATCAATCTTTTTCATAGTTCAATGTGTTTCAGAATCTATTAAATGAGTCTTCAAATACACCTGCATGTCACCATCTGCACTAATGGAGAATTTTATAACTTTAGACTGTGTTATTAATTCACATTTACATTCCATAAACCAAATTTTATTGATACTGATGGATTATGCATAATAATCTATGATTTCACAGTAACTCAGGAACATAGAGCACAAAGGTGTAATAAATGTGTTGGTCTTCCCTGCAGTTCCTTGCGATGTGGAACAAAAATAAAATAACAACTTTAAAGATTATCTCAGGAGCAATGTAATCTGACAGTAGATTAATTTCTTAATAATACCCACCATGATTAATAAGATGCATTATAATTGGATAAAACCTATTTGTAATTCCTAACACGAGCTCATGAAATCGCAAAAAAACATTAGTGAAGATTTGCAATTAAATGAAATTTTTGTCGCTTCCATCCTTTAGCTCAACAGCAAAGTTTTCAGTATAATACACTTTTCAATTAAGGAAACTAGGTTTACAGGCATGTGTAAAATTAACAGTAGGACTGTTAACTGACAAAAAGTAGGAGCAAAATATTTTTTAGAAATTGAAACAACATTGAGCAACTGAATTAGAGTAGTTTTTCTCATCTTAATTTTTAAGATACCAAAAGAAAAACAAATATCAAGTGGCAGTTTCCATTCAATGACAGTACTTTAAAGACAAAACAAAAGTTAAAAAATAACAATCATGGTACTGCTTGGATCAGTTCCATGACAGGTATGCTATCTGTGCAGCTATGTAATCAATAGTTCTATTTATAGTAAGATACTATATCACAGAAATCTAGATAGTAAGTCCTATCATTACTGCACTGCAGTATATTTGTATGGTTTTCATAACTTTAAATTTATAATGCAGAATCAATAAAAGAATCTCATCTAATTCCTTGCTTAAATTAAACATTGTGATTTTCTATAGATACATACTTCTTATATATTTTAATATGGAAAATACCTTTTCTTCAATAGCACATCAAATACTAAAGAGGTAATAAATGTAATTTTGAGCCTCAGAAACATTAATGTGTTTTCTTATGTGCATATTTGCACATGCAAACACTTACACTTAAAGGAGCACTTTAAAAGTGCCTGTCAATACAGAGATATTAGGGATCCCAGTGATTATATACTCTAAGTACACATAATACTTCTGTAACTAATTCTATAATATCTCAAAAATCACATATAATATATACTCGTATTTAAGAAGCAGTATGAGAACCTCTGAAGTTTTAACACTAACTTCAACAGAGCCAGGCTATCACCCAAAAGATTTCCTTGCTCTGCGTTCCCTGCAAAACTCTGAAATTATTAGTTTTCAACTGCTAAAATTGCCAGAGTTTCGTTATTTTATAATTTGCTACTCTTACCATCTCTGCTAAACCATTTGCATTATTGTTCAAAGGCAAATTCATGCCTTAGGAGATCTTTCTTGGAATCAAGATTCAAGATTTCTAGATGCTTCAAGATTTCTTTTAGTTATTGGAAAAGGGAAAAGGAATGTTACAGGAGGCATGAGTGCCTTTTGTTTGTTTCTTTCTTTATTTATTTGTTTTGATTGTTAAACTTACCCAGTCTTCTCTCACTTGGGGAATACGACACTAAACCCTTACATATGCTTCCCATGTTATATTTTAAATGTTCTAGTCCCTAAAACAAACAATACATTGCAGGGATTTTTAGCCCTGCCGAGGCAAACTCGTCTGTATGGTGCATGCAAAGGTCAACTTGTTAGGAAACATTTCTCGCAGCCATCTGCGTGCCTAAGGTACCAACAGGCACAACCACCACATCCAACACAATGTACTCAGGGCTATTCGAAGGGCCAGATGTGTTGGTCTTATGGTGAAGTCCATGTGGCCAAGAATATTTTCCAATCCCTGGTGAACCCTCATTGCACTGTACTCATACCATCTCTATCTAACATACTCTGAGCTGCTGTCTCGGAAAGGTGGGAGGTATTGATACAGCACTTTGCTAAATTAAAAACTTGCTCCAGAGTCAACAAGAAACACTCCATGAGCTATTCTGTGAAACTTTGAAAGGCAGATGAAGTAAAGCAAAGTATATGTTCAAGTTTTCTGCATTTATGATTGGAGGCATCATTCTCGTGGTGAGACTTGCAGAAGTAGTGTCCTCTTTAACAAAGAAAAATTCTGTCTAGACAAGCAGGAAACTACAACTGCTTTGAAAGGACAGCTTAAAACCAGGCTTTTCTAAGTTAACGTCATAAACATGATGCAGTAGGTTTTGTTCTCACTTGATTGAGGAGCATGTAATTGTGACTTGTAAAAGGCTGTGATGCTATTTCACTATATAACATTTACACATTATTTTATGGTTAAAATCAATGAATCGGAATAGAAATCTTTTACTTTATACTGTGCTTTCTTAATTATGGCAGTGTCCGCTCTACAATTGTTCCCTATCCATTAGCTGAGAAATAAGCAGTTGCCAGCCAAATGGAGGTCAAGCACCAACATTTACCGTACTATTGTCTGTCGTCTTGTGCCAGTTACACACCTTCTAAGGAGCAGCACAGGAGGAAAGCAGCCTTCAAAGAAGTGCTGCAGCCTTTCTGTCTGCACACACAGATGCGCGAGTGAGAGGACAGCATGGACCCAGGGCCAGGAGACTGTACCGACAGCTCCGTGAGCGGGTCCCTTCTTCCTTGAATCCAGGCAGTGAAAAAAAAAGTCAGAGCATCTTTCCACTTCTGCACTAGGGAAGTCATGTTAGTAGACATATTGTATGATCAGCGTGGATCGTACTATACCAGTCATGTCCTTAGTTTATAATACGATTTTATTTTGGTCCGGGTGTTCTTGCTTACTGCAGGCTTCCCTTGTCACTCTATGCAAGTTATTCAAGTTCCCATGACTTTGACAGGATTTAGGTGCCTATGAGACACCTCCAGGGAGACCTAGGAGGCTTTTTACGTCTCTCTCAGATTCTTTGTGTTGTCTCTGGCTTGGGACTTTGCAGGGATAATGACATTACAGACTCTAAGACTCTATGAGAGCAAAATAAAGATTTGGGTATTACAACATTAAGTGAAGCTGTATTATGTCAATAATAATGAGACAGTTCTTGAGAAGGCACTTTCATTTGTACATTTGCCAACTAAGATTAGAAAATGGTGAGAGCATTTCTTACTTAGGACCGTGAGACTGAGCCTTAGGAGTCAAAGACAGACAGGCAAAGGAGATCAGGGTGCTCTTCTCATAAACTTCTGCTAAACACAAGGAGGAGGAAAGAATTTTTCCCTCACCTTCTACTCTTTTCCACATAGTGAACGCTTGCCAGAATTTGCTTCTGTAGGTGATAGGTGTTCTCCACAAACACCAGATGTCATGGCTTAAGGAAACAAACGTAGATGATGGTGGCACGTGGGAGGGGGATTGAAGGGTTGAGGAGGGAAACAACTGGGAAAGAGCTATGGGAAAATACAGCAGGGCTTGGTTTGTTTTGCTTTCCAGGAGGTTACATGGAAACAGAGGCAGCAGCTCAGGAATCTCTGGGATTAGGCAAACTTGGAACCCAAGCAGAAAAGGACCGAAGACTAAAGAAAAAGTGAGTACCTTTTTCACGTGACTTTCATTGCATCAAACTTGATTCAAATGCCAGGTTTTGTGCTAGTATTACACAGACATGTAATGAGAAGCAAGACCATCTACTACGGCAGTTTAGCCCTTAACGTGTTTTTTTTTCCACTGTAAAAGTTTTTAAAGCTGCATATAAATTATAGGGAAAAATATTCAGAGTCTGTCAATTGTACAATAGTGTTTCATTTGTAAAAGAACATAGGTTTATGAGAAAGAGACATTTTATATTTCACATTGTCATTAATTCCGTGCCTTTTGCCTTCTGTGCAATTCTTAAAAAATAGGCAAGCATTTAATGACTCACTGCATAGATTTTTTTTTTTCAGAAGGAAAGAAAAGACTTTTTGCATTATCTATTGAACACATGATTATTTCTGTCTATAAAAGTCAAAGGCTCCCCATAAACCTAGCAGCTTCACTTTTTTTTCGCCTGTCAGCAAATGGCAATCTAGCTTTTTGTTTGCATAAGTTACATAATAATTTAATGCCGTCTTTGGTGCACCTCCTCGTAAAACCAGTACACTGACTCATAGCAGCTGCCAGGAGCTACGGAGAACTATTAAAATAAAGCTACAATACAAAAGAAACCTCTTGGCAGCATCACCGTTCCAGTGTAATTAGAGGGTGTCAGAGAAAAGAGATGGTACTTCAAAATGATTTTGCAAATTCATTCTGTAAACAAACAGGTTTATTTTTCATCCATAACCATTAACTTTAGTGCTATTATTTGATTTCTGAAAGCCTCATTTTTTAAATTTGCAGGGTTTTCAGGTTTCTTTCAGTCTTCATGCTCCTTTGCAAAGTTTCAAGAGAATTTGCAATTCTAATCCCAAGAATCTAGAGATAATGTTTCAGTTTCTTTTTAAATTTATATGTAGAATATTTTAATCACTACTTTCATACCAAGCTTCTGATGAAATATAACTTTATATGTATACATCCATGTTATGTACAAATGTAAGTGTTCCATTTAAATCAGCCTCAATTTAGGAACTGAAGATAGAGAAGCACTCATGTTAGCTGAGAGAGAAGAAATGTTTTAAATTCAATTAGGAGACTCACAATAACATTCACAGGGATATTACAGTTGACAAGTCTTGCCCCTGTATTTCTTACCTCAGTAGTCATTTAGAAATATATGGATGCAAAGGGTATATTACTATGCTTTTTTACTGAATCTAGAAAGCATCTTTGAGACCGTTGTTACCATTCATAAAGAATATAATTGAATTTTCAGCAGCCTGTTTTCTGAAGGTCCCTATTTGTCTTCCAGCTCTGAGGACTGAAGGTACCACAGTATTGAAATCACTTTAAAGGGTCGAATGTGTTCCCTTTGTTCACTTTCTCCTATGTTAGTTCTTTAAACTGGATAAAATAACGTAAGACTTAACACATACTACTGCAGATGTGACATGACTACTTCAGATATGAGAGTGCCTACCAAGTTTGGGGTCTGGAAGTAGTAGGTGTACAGGTAATCTGTTAGTGGACTTCTGTCTAATCTCACCCAGACTTTTCCGTGCTTTCTGCTTTTCAAGTCTTTCCTTTTTTTCTTCCTGCATCTGTCCTTGGTTCTTTATGGATTAGAGATAATCAAAATGTTCTCTGCTGGAAGGAAAGGAATCTTTCCTTTGTGACTATGACTATTCATCTAGTCTGAACTGTATACTCTTTATCCTAAATATGTGTTATATAACTGTGCCATGAAGATTTTTTATTTTTTCCCTGTTCCCTTAGATTTGTCTGTCTTCATAGTTTTTTACTTTGGAATCCCTACAACTGCTTTTAAGATTCTTGTTAATTTACTGTCAGAGAAAGGTTAACATACTTTGCTAGATTATATATATCTTATATAGGTCTAGAGGAACTGTACTATGGAAAAAATCTAACATTTTGTGTTAGAGATATACATGAGATTCTACAGAATTTATGATAGTCATTAGGGTGCCAAGCTATCAATAGGGTGTAAGAGAATTAACACTTCCTTGTAAAAAATGGAGTCATGTATTTCATGTGTTGCCTTAGAAAGTATTAAGTTGAAACAGTCCAGACAGTCATTTAAATGAAAAGTTTGTCTCAGTAGGTCAGATTCCTTTCTGCCAACACTGAACAACACATAACTGCCTCTGGAAGTAGAGCCTTCACATACATACAGCAGCTGCAAGATTACTGATCTGGGTAACGCCAGTGAGAATACCATCCTGTGTAACGTTAAGGATGGTAGTAATGTGTATGAGGTCTTTATAAAAGGTAATGAGAAGTCTAAGAATCATTTGCTATCTCATGGTGTAACAGTAAGATTGAAGTCCAAGCGTTTGATTCGTTTTTACTGCTAAAGAAAACTGCCCTACAAACCCTGCAGAGGCAGGGAGCCCAGTCGCTGGAACAGAGCGCGCAGAGCACTTCACTTTGTATGGATTTCTATGGCTAATTTAAATAAGGACATAAGACCCCAAGAGAACCAGACCCACCAAAAGGATACTTAAAGGATAGGCTAAAGCAGGGAAGCACCTCTTTGTATTACATTTCAGCTCTGGGAGAGCTTTATTTAAAAAATCAAAACCGTGATCCCAGGGCTAATTCCCTGTTCTATAAAACAGGAGCAATACCATACTGAACTTGTGTTTCTCTTACACACGTAAGTCAAGTGAAGTGGCTTTCAGCCCTGTGAACTTCTCTTTCAGTGCAATGGTAGTTCTGGTGCAGGAAACCAAGGATTGTCCCCTTGACATGAAATCAGAGGTCTGGTTCATTTCTGTGATCAACACATGAGTACTGTGAGCAGTACTCATGAGCTTCACCAGAATTTGCAACTAACTTTGGGTTAGTAAATTAAAATTGGGTAGAAGTTATTATAAAAGGACGGATTCCTGTTAAAATGTTATCCATGGTATTTCTTTCAGTTGAATTAATCTCTTAAGTGAAAAATACCCTAAAATGCTAAATATCTAATTTTGCATTTCTGAATGTATTCATCAGTAATTCAGCAAGGATGCCCCTACCACAGAGATGAAGGATGACAATGATGCACATTCTCAGTTGCTGCACCCAGTAGGTACTAACTTCACCAGGTGTCCTGGGCACCTGCTCCCTGAGTAGCAGGCATTTGCATTGACCTTGCTCTGGCCCCGTGGAGTTACAAACATACTGCAGCCTCTTAGAGTACTTTAGAGCAATTTACATGCATAGAATAGATTACTGAATAATAGATTTCACTCTGAAAAGTTTCATGAGAGCATATGATAATTCTGGAGACCACTTCTCTCTCTGGTGATTATAGTGTCATTAACCTAAATTTCACAGTTTTCATGCTTCTTGCTTAGAAGATGCTATTTAGATGTAAAATTTTTCAGTTTCAATTGACTACTTAGGCATCATTAAAATGTAATTAACAGTTTGTCTCAATGATAAACCTCAAACAAGAGTCTATTCATCCAACATTTGGTTATTACAGTAGATTTATTAGGAACAAGTCTTTCTCCGAAGGCATCAAAGAGAAATTAACGAAGCTGTGTAGAATTTTTAAATTAGACCTAACATGTTCCTAAAATAGTCTGAAAAGATGAACTTAAGTTGCCTGACTCATCCATAAATGTTTACTCTCAGACATTAAATATATGACAGCTTTAGTTAATATTAAAACTTTTTAAGTCTTACTATTTGTAAATTGAGCATGCAGTTCTAGAAAACAAAAAAATGAATGTCAGAGGTATTTAGAGCATTCAGGGTGTTATTCCATTGTTTGGTGAAAATAACTGATACTAGGATGTGAAAAAGAATAATGCACTGCATTTTTATTATTTAAACTAGCCTTTATATTCCACTTCACTTGTTCTATACAAAAGCTGTTAATATTTTGTATATAATGTCTTCTGCCTTTTGTCACCATTACATTCGAGTCCCCTAATGATTCAAATAATTTGCACTCATCTAAATCATAAATTTTATTTGATTAAGATATACTCTCCAGAAGGCACCCATCACTGAAATGAAGAATGGAGCTTTTCTCTTAGTATTTTTTTTTCTAGTGATTAACCAGTCACCCTGTGAAAAATGGTTACCTAATTTCCAGTTCTGAATTTTGTAGTCATCTCCAGCTACCACTTCTCTGTGACTGTGTATACACTATCCTAGCTGTTCATAACATCATCCTTCATGGGTGTTTTTGTACCAAATAATAGGACTGTGCACAATGACCTGACCTTGGCATTCACTGAGGGTTGTCGTGATAGCCCAGGCTGGGACCCAGCATATCCAGTTTCTGTCACAACTCATAAAGGTTTGCAGAGGGTTCAGATAGAGGCATAGTGCTCTCTGGGACAGCAGCAGTTGATCAGCATGTGTTCCACCAGACAATTCATACCTCAGAAAAACAGTAGATAATACTGTGCCTAAAATCAAATAATCTGTATCCCCCTTAAAAACAGCTACCCGCCTGCCCCCACTGACCTCATCTCAGGTAGCAAATTAAGGCACTTAACAGAAGTCATATAAATGTTTTACTGTCCTTTTCACTAAAATACCATACGATGAACCCTTTATAAAAATCTTCTCTAACAATTAACTCAGCCAATGAACTTGGAATATTATCCACCAATAGAGCCATGTTTGCTTCCCTTTTTGCTATAACTGTCCTAGTGAACATCAATTGTATTCTCCTTGTCCACAGTTTTGTTCAGGAGTGATGTCAAATCGTCCTTACCTGAAAGCCTCACAGGTGGCAAACACAGCTCTAAAGAGTCTTGCTTTGTCTTTCAAAGTGCAGTATAGCTCTGAGTGCCAGGAATACGTGTCGTTTTCAAATGTAATCTTTGATTTAATCTGCAACAATATGCAATGAGGCAGTGAATAAGTATCTGCCTGAAGGAGGGAGCATGCTGAAGAAAGACAAGACATATATGTCTTTTACGTTGCATAAAAGTATGTAATGATTGGTCATAATCCCTGGTATTTCACAGGATGTGTTTGTCATCCTGTGCAAGGCACCAACAGAAGGCAAGGTTTGAGAGACTTTTAATTACTATGTAGTCCTAGACTGCCACACAGAGATGGATTTGACCTTGTGCGTGCTGCTAGTAGAGTTTGAGACTGGCCTATGCCATGGCTTCCTCAGCAATCCCAAAAACAAATTATTTCCATGAAAAAAAATTTACACGCAAGTCAGCTAGCCTGGATTGTTCTGACAGGATTCCAGCCCAGAAGCTGATAAATTCCCCAGTTTATTAATATATGAGCGTTCAAATAACAATCATTTCTTACCTCATAGCCGATGAAATAACTCCACTGTATCATAATGCTATCACTCCTGGTCATCTGGCAGGGTTAGGATGAGTCAAGAGCAGAGATTAAGCTTCGCTTTTTTCTTCAATTTTGTTTGATTTGGCTCTGGACAAGAATCTATTAATTCCACATTTCCAAAACAAGCTTAAGATGTGAGATTTATATTTTCCAAGGAAAATCAAAGTAAACCAGTCTTTCCTATGAACCTGTTTTGGGGAGATTTACTCCACAGGTACAGGTTTTTGTTTGACAGATATAGCCTCCTGCCCTCAAGTGGATTGCAGAAAAGCCTTGTTATGCCGGGACACATACATATGCTTACATACATGAATAAAGACTTGTAAAATCAAACTGAGTAATTCTCATATGTAAAATTACAGTGTAAAAAGAAAATCTTAGTATTCATCGCCTTATAATTAACCTTGCAGAGAGAACTGAAATGCTGTTAAGTTTCAGCTGGCTACAGTGATGTACATATTAAACAGCAGTAACTTCCATATGAACAGAAGAGCATGTTGTATTAATTAACTCTTCTTCCTTTCTACCTAGCCAAAAAAAAAAAAATAATGTTGGTAAGTGTCTGTGATAAATTGGACAAATTCCCAATAATACTTCAGTCCTTTTCTTTTGCTGGTTTTCATTTGTATGTATCCTTCAAAAATTGGGAAGTCACAAAAAATAGGCCTCATGTTGTGGTAATCCACTTTTAAATAAAATCAGTGAAAGAAAACAGAACACTGGGACTTCCATTTTTATTTTTTTTTATGGGCAAATCTTAAGTTTTAGATCCCTGTCAACAGGCTACTTCAACAAAAGTCTAGGTAGACTTTTTTGTGGAATAAGAGTTTGAAATGCTGTATTTATCATTTAGTTACTTTTGACTCCACACAATAGTCCTTTAATTAGGTTTTATGTGTGCAACCACAATTAGAACTTGACATAGTGTATTTGTGACTACAAATAATCTCTGCCCTCTGCAGTATACAAATAGCTGTTTCTAATGATTTTCTTAATTGCACACATTTTGAAAAAATGAATCTAATTGGATTAAGGTCTTTTTCTGTGCCATCCATCTAATGTTCCTGTATACTTCATGCTTATTAAACACCATTATATCCTAAATGTACATGATGTTTTTTTTACAGTAGCTCTTAAGAATAAAATGCTTTTTTTTCCCCAGTCTTTTATTTTCTGAATCTTTATGAAAGTTCAAGTTTTGCATTTGATTTCTTCCGTTCCTACCTCATCTATGAGAAACTACCTGATGTTGTTAGTAGCTTTCAGACTGATCTTTAGGTCTTCCTCCCTTTCTAGCAAACAATACTGTGTTCAGTAGCTATTATTTTCTATTTTCTCACTCCAGTGGAGGAAGGAGAGCTATTCAGTGTTCTGCTATTCAGTTTAGTATTGTCTGCTATGTCCACCATGGTTTTCTCTTGGCTGGATCAGTGTCTAATCCTTGAAACATACATAGAGATAAATTTTCTTTTTAAACTTAATTCCTTTAGCAAATAGTTTTAACACTGGAAGACCCTTTCAAATCATTAGTCAGTCAAAGGTTTTGCAATGTTAAAAATGTATCTTGCTATTACGTTAGATACTTGGAGCCTTTTTACCATTACAAATGTAAGGATATATGAGTATTTATCTTGCAAAGGTTTATTCAGTCTTACTCAGATCATTCTGAGGATGAGAAAATTGATACAACATATTTTTTTCTGTGTCTAACTCATACATATTTTTAAATCTTGCATTTTTAAAAATAATATTTTTATCCTTTGCCAAGGTTTTTTTTTGTTCTTTTCCTCATAAAAGAATATTTGTATCAACAAGTTGCAAGTTTTTAATCAAACAAAGATAGAACAAAGCCCCAGTCCCTGCCCTATCTACACATATAGGCATATCTCTTGCAACTTGGGATTTCTGGATAAATATAAGCATCTACACTCAGGCATGCAGCTGGCGCTCTAAGCGATGATCTCCAGCAGATGCAAATATCCTGTCAGATTAACTGTAGAATTAGGGTTTAATGGAAGAATGGATAAAATACAGCAGAGGAAAAAAAATTCTGCATAACTTTTAGTTTAATATATGTCTAAGGGAACTCTGTTCCTTCAATAAAATGGTGATAAAATGGTTGTCTTATGAAAGGTGAAAGCTAGAATTTAAAGCTCCATTTTTTTGTCTGCCGTATTTTATTATTCTGCAGACAAGATGTTCAGGAAGCGAAGGAATGTCCCTTGATCCTCTGCTTCTATAATGGGGGAGACTGGAATGGCTTTCAGGTCCCATAAGTTATCCCCAAGTGACTGCAAACTGCTAACTCATTAAAGATGCCAGAAAATTACTTGCATTCCAGTTAATCCCTCTGATTATTTCTCTCTACCCATACACAAAGGAGTATTCAGAGAAAGATGTAAGAAGTGGCAGTTCTGGTTCAATACTCTGTAAGGTCCAAAATTAAAAACTTTTCCAGCAAAGGTGTTCAAGTCAATCTCTACAGTTAGCTCAGTAGAAAATGAGCATGAATCATGAATGCATATTCAATTCTAGTGCTACTTCCATCAGATTTGGTAATTGTTTGAATAGTTCTCTAGTCTCTTATTTATATTGCATACTTTCGTTGTCCTTCCCTTCCTTAATTTTCCTCTCTTAAACTTTCTGTGTGTAAATTTGTCATTTGTTTCCATCCACTTCTCTGCGTCACGTTTTCTCTCCTCTCTCCCAGCTGTTCTGCTGAGCTCACACAGGTGAAAACAAAATTTAAGATCTTGAAACCAGCACCCTCTTAAACTCACTGAAATGTCTGCAACCTCTTCTTAATCAATCAGAGCACAGGTTTTTGACCCGCAAGTTTTCTACAGCTATATCTACCAAGCATTTTTATATCTCTGTAAATCATTTGTTAATAGAAATATAATATTCTGAGGTGTCTGGGTTTCAGGCATATAGTTTTCTTTTTATGATGGCAATTAAAGGATGCTGAAGAAAGTTTATTATCGACGGTGGCATCCTGCTTTCTCCTACAGATACTGTTACCAATTATATTGGCAAGAACAGGTTACCTAGAGGGCAAATCGCTCATATCAGTATTGCTGCTAATCTAGTGTTAGTATGACTGCTCAAATTAAAATACTGCATGGCATAAATAACCATTATAAATGTTAGTCACCTATGTACATGAAATCTGCATATTTAAAAAAAAACACCACTTAGTATGACTGCTCGAATTAAAATACTGCATGGCATAAATAACCGTTATAAATGTTAGTCACCTATGTACGTGAAATCTGCATATTTAAAAAAAAACACCACAAAAACCCAAGTCTAGGTCATTTATGATTACTACGGGATATTTTGCTAAAATATTAGTAAAGTGCACCTAGAAAAGTAAACTTTGATTTGTAGTCCACTCAGTTTTACTGTGTCTCTATGGTAATTTGCTTAAATCCACAGGTTTTTTCAGGATTTTTGGTGTTACACAAAAATCACTATGAAATTATTCAAATTTGTGAAAAATTCTTTGATTTGAAAATCTATTCCACATTCACTGTGTTTACAGATCTTTGGCACACATATACTTTGTAGATGGAAGTTGTGCTGTGCTGAGTGGTACTTAATAAATAGCCAACATCAGTTTAATGAAAATCTCATTTTGACAGACGCATTTGTTCTTCATAAGGACATGTGACTTCTTTAAAGCATTCAAAGACCAGTTACAAAGATTTCTGTAGTTATCGTGGTGGTATTGTTTTATCTATCATACGATTTTATTTTTTTTTACGGACTACTATATGTTCATTAACATTTATGTGCTTTTTTTTCCATTCATCTCTCTCCATCTCATGAAAAGCATATCTGGGTAAGTTAAAACACCATGGCTGCTGAACATATTCATTTTCAGCACCATGTTTATTTTCTATGTTTTATTCTTATTTCTTTTTGTTTTCCTGTGAAACTTATGTAACAAATTCATGCAGAAAACTGACCCAAATGAAAACTTTCAAAGTATTCAAAATAATGGTAAACCTTGAAAGCATACTCAAGTTCAGGTCAGGACTTGCTCCTGCAGGGCTTAACAGAATGGATTAACTACTTGGAGATAATTTCTTTCAGTTTTTTTTAATAAAGGCATTTGGGGAGGTCTAAAGCCCAGAATCACAAAGACATTTGAAAGTTTTAGTCAGTTGAAAAATCATGAGAATGAAGGCCTAGATTAACAAATACTGTTAAGGGATAAATTCTGTTTAATTAAATGACAGATGACTCGAACTGCAGTAATCCAGAGTACACAACTTCTTTTTTTCTGTTTGAGCCCTCATGCTGTGTAACAGTACAATAATATTTCATTTGTGCATATAACTTTACTATTTTCTTTTTCACTAGTTCATTTTTTTATGTTTGTTTGGGGTTTCTTTAATTGTTAACATCATATCAAGTTTTAAATCTTCATCTCCTCTTTGATCTATCATATAAATTTTTTTTTCTTGAATAATTTTTGTAATTTAGGGAGAAAATGTCATCCATTCAAAGCAGGTATGAGCTATAACTTTCTAAAGGTGTAAGGATAGAAAGCTCAGAGAACAGGGGTTACCACATTAATTTAAAATATGTGATTATGAAGTCGCTTTGTAAAAATAGATTTGATAACATTTAATCAACCTGGGAACTCCGGGGGTCTCTAACGTTATACAGTACATACAAGATTGCAAGACTGTGTGTTATGTGAGTCTATTTCACAGGTGGTTTATTATTTTTTTTTAATACTAGCTCTCTGCAGCTCTGATTTGTTAGACTCTATATTAAGCATTCCTGAACATGCTTCGCTTAGCTTAATATTTGTCTTCAGCAAAAGGAATGCTGCCATTCAATCTGTATAAACTTAAAATGTATAGAATATGTAGAATATGTAGAATAATTACAGCATTGTTAAATCTATTTTGCTCATCAGTGTTATCTGAGATGCTGTTAAAGTTATACTTCCTTGTTTTATAGGTTCAAAAACTTTTAGTTGCATCTTGATTTCTGTATTTCAGTCATTTTTTCTGAAAACTCCTTCAAGTCAGATACAAAACATTTTGTAAAAAATAGAAATTGAATTTTGTCCATTGTTCTCAGTCTGACTGTTATATCAAGTATCAAAAAGGAGAAAGAATGAGGATTTCAAATTATTTAAAAGCCAGGTCACTTAAGTGCCAAAGTTGAAACAAGGTCTGACCCAATTTTTAATTAGTGCAGTCTTTAAGTTAGATGGATCCTTTCAGATTAAATTAAATCAACATTGTATGGCAATATCAAGTGTTGTGGGTTTTTTTTTTCCCCCTATTTCCTACTTTAAAAACATTTATAGTCTTGCATAAAATAAATAGATAAAATGTAACTTGTTATTTATTACTAGACATTTTATATCATTATTAAGTTATATAAATTCAGCTACCTTGTTTTGTCATACAATGACCTTAGCTACAGGATTCTAACCTCTCTTAAATATTTAGCAAATGACAATAGGAAAGATAAAATCCAAATCCATCTTAATTCATTAGAAATCCTCTCTCCTGAATTTTGCAGTCTTTGAATGTATGTTAGCTTTCAAGAGGCAGATGTGTTTAATCTTAACTTGAAATCATAGGATTACTCAGACAAATACAGCATATTTGGTCTATCATTTCTGTCTATTTCTCTTCTAGAAACCAATCATGTATAATATTTTGTTGTAAGCTAAACATTTTAGTATTGATGATAATTGTGATAGTGTCAGTAATAATAATCAGAGCATCTGCTAGGTGTACACTTTTGTCTGTTATCTTCTTGAGAAAATGTCTATGAGTAAAGGCCATTTCATAGTATCTAAATTGCCCATTAGCCAAAATTTTTAAATTAATTCTGATCTTATTTTACAAACATGATTTGGCTCTTGACTTCACCATGCCTCCTTTTCAATTTATCTCACATTTATGATTACATTTTAACTAAGGAACATTATAATACGCACAGTATAATATCCCTGAGGACTTTTCATGTAAACCTTACTAGAACTATCAGAGTAAATGCTATTACTTGCAGAAATACGAAGATCTGTGTTGAAACATTGTTCAAGTTTCATCAAGACAGTATCTGGACTTTGTGTACTACAGAGAGTGTTTGCATTATGCGTATCAGAAATCGTGAGCTGTTATTTCTTGTTTGCTTCATGGGGGGGAGCCTCGTCTTCATAAAGAAAATTGAATGTCATTGAATGACACGCTTTAAATCAAGATCTTGGTAACTGCCCACACAAAGTCTATTTAAAGATTTTTCTTGTTTTTAATAAGGTTCATTGAGTTTCGTGCAATGAGTTGATGAGGGCTGCTGATACAGAGCTAGAATTTTCCTGGTGCAAGGGAAGGATATATATGAAACAGAAAATTAGCAGGATAATAACATAGTTTTGCTGCTGTCATTTCCCCCTTCCTTCTACTCCCATGTACATCTGCTGTCCAGAGGGATATTGAAGCGTTCATAGTCCCCATGGTATGAGCCAGTTGTGCTTTCAGCTTGGTAGGTTGATTTGGGCAGTTGTACCTGGCTCTTAGAAGAATGATGCTAAAGAAAATGGCCCACTGTAACAGTATCTTTAGGAAGTAATTTTGGGGAGGATTAAACATCAGAAGTCAGTGCCAGGGAGGCAACCCCGCTTCTCAGATGCACGACTCCACAACACAATTTGATGTGAATTGATTTTTCTTTTCTGTCTTTGATAAAAGAGTGAAGTCAGCCCACTTCGTGAGGCACACTCTCTAAAACAGACAAATACAAGCATCTCAAATTTTGGATGAATGCTAAACAGTTGATGTTCATGAAATTTCCTGACTGCAAAACCAGGCTCAGGGTAATGGTATATTTTAAACAGCATATTGCAGTTACTCCAATAATGTCTCTAGGAAGAGGATTTTATTCTTGAATAGTAGTAATGTTATCTTTAAAAATATGACTTTAATTTGGAATTCATTCCAGTGGTAGTAAGTGGTTTAAAGCCCTATCTGCAAAATAATAGCATTTATAGTAATGTCTAATTAATGTCAATTCTTCCTTATCAACTTGTTTTTATGTGTTGCCAAAAAGCTAAACAAGCATGAAAATAATAACATTTTAATTCCCTACCTCCTTACCAAGGCAAAGTGGACATGTAGCACTCTTCTGAAAAAGTCTTAAGAGGAGAAAATCCCCACATTCCCCTACAAAGCATCTTCCAAATTAGAGAAACTGTATAATGCTGTTCATGATTTCCAAACCCTGTCTTTGTAATGAAAGGAAAAGGGAGTGACGAGCTTTAGGGTATTCGTCTCTTCTTCCTCCTGTGATCAGCTGTATGTTTTTGTAAGGAAAATTGAACTGTAGTTACCAGTATTTGGCTTTGGGGACCTTCTGTTTTCGGGAAGCCAGCAACTATTGCACGATAGGACATTCAGGCTGTTCTAAAATATTCAGATTATATTCCAAAATAGGCAGATCACCAGATTAATTTTTCTGATTTGCACTGTTGATCAAAATGATACATGTTTTTTCCTACATGACATTTTTAACTTATTTTGGAAGAGTGGAGGTTTTTCTGTAGTGCTAGTTCATATTTAAAAAAAAAAAAAAAACAAAAAACAAAAAACAAAAAAAACAAAAGCAGCAAACAAACAAAACAAAAACAACCAAACCAGAGTTTTCTTTGACTGCCAACTAAAGAATATCTCTCTTAGTCAAAAAATAGAAATTCTGGGTTTAGTTCTGGTTTAGAAATTGAAGGTTCAGGTGCTGCCTGTCTCCTACTGTGTATTAAAAAGTAGTCAAAGAATACTGTTTGAAAGGTAAGATATAATTTAAATAAACTTGAATATTGAAGAGGTGTTTAAACGAAACATCTGAGGGAAGGAAGTATAAGTTCTGAAGCATAAAATTCTTTTTAAGGGAAAGACATATTATAAAAATCCTTTTTGTATTCCACATCAATAAGTGAGGCACAGGCCTTATGACGGCTGTATTCCCTGTGCGTGTCTGAGGTAAAGCATTTTAACTTTACACTAAAAATATTTTTCAATCCAAAACATTTTCCTTCTACATGCCGAAACCCTTTGGGTTGTGTTTATCATACTGTAGTCTTTGACTATAGCGTATATTTAGGGCATCCCATTTCTGGCCTGGCCCTATTTTCTTCAGCCAAAATCAATAACCACAACTATACTTTCCTTGAGCCCTGTGAGCCAGACTGCCTCTGAAGTACGAGAAGTGCTTTCCTACCCTGGGAAAGTGTATTTGTTTGAGAAGCACTGGGGAGCTGCTAAGCCTCCGCACCAAGCCTCAGGCCAGTACAAATGTTGCAAAGTCACAGAAGACTCCCTGGAAATACTTATTTTATAATTCCAGCATAAAAGAATTAAGTTTTTCATAGAAGTGAGACCTTAAAGTGCCAATTCCTTTTCTGCACGCACCTCAGTTCCTGAGGCCACACAGGAGTTGAAGAAACAGACCCTCCCCATCTCCTTGTAGACCACCTGCTGCTGCTCTCCCGCTTGGAGCAGGAGACCAACACAAGCAAGGAAGGCCAGTGGCCCTCAAAGCGATAATCTCCTTTTTTACGTACTGTGTTTGACAATCCTGCTCTTTCACTGGGATGGGTGAAGAGAATAGTCCAGATAAGGAAAAATCTGGGAACAGGTTCTTCCAAGGGTGATGTCTCCATGGGACTCCCGGCTGCAGAAGGGACTGCTCCCTGGGCTTGGGCTGGCTTTGGGGAAGGAGCAGGTTTTACTGAGGATTATGCTTTCATAGAGCGCAAGGATAGCTCCACAATGTCTTTGGACATCTGAGTGACAAAAGATAAGGTATGCTGCAAAGGATGTGTGGGAGGAGAAGCTGGATAAACTTCAGTTATGCTGTCAAGTATTTCTAACGTTACATTTTACTATGGCGTAAACATAGAAAGTAATGCAGCTGTCTTTCTGTTAATATTCAGAGGCAGGTATTTAAACAAGTATGCAAAATTGCATATTTGAGTTCTATTTTCTACTAAAGCCAAATTCTCTCAGTCTGGCCCCTTGGCAGTGCAAAAATCCCCAAAGGAGTACTCCTTACAAGTAAGATCGCTCCATCGCTTTTATCTGCTGTGATTTTGTAGTACATATATTTGAAAGGCTGCTAAGGCAGTGAAGTATTGCCAAGGGATAACTGAACCACAAAGACTGTAGTAATAAAGGAGGACAGAGCAAAAATGAAGCTATAATTCCAAGATTTCCTTGTAATGTGGGAACGTAAGCAAATTTTAATACTACAGTAGCATAGTCCTTGTCTAACTTGTTTTTCACTACAGCTTGTTGCTGAGAGCACTCTTGTGTGCCACTCTGTAGGAGGCAGCTGAAAATACGTCGTTAAGTAACAGAAAAGAAGGACTTTTGGAGGACTGTTTTTTCTATGCCATCACCACAGTGGCTTCTTTTTTCCTGCTCCAGGAATAAAAATATCTGGTCAAATGGTTGAATGTGTGGGTTTAATACAGAGCATTTTCTTGATAGTCTAGCTGACTGGCCTATACATAATTTTACCAAATATATTAAAAGTATATTTTAAGCTTTGAGAATGATGTTTTACATACACACTCATTGCAGTCCAGAGAAACTGCAGATGCAGGAGTTGGATTGTTATGTGATGAACTCAATATAAATATATCTATGTATATATGTATATCTATAAAATTGACAAACCACATTGATTCTGTAATTATAAAATTGTATACATTAGTAAACCACATGGATTTCTTTTGTATATAAGCAATGATAATAATTAAAAAATAATAACATGGAACTATTAAAGATACATCCAACTCTTAATTAGCCACGGATGGGTTATTTAAAATGCAGAATAGCTGTGCTTCAGAGGCTCTAAAATTGTGCATAGCTGGTCCAGCAGGTTAGCATTGCAAATACAGAGATGTCTCAGACCCGACTGCGTTACATCCATGCTTAGCTCAGGTCTAGAAGCTAGCAATTTGGGGCCTTTCTGGGTCATTACCAGACCAGAGCTAAGCTAATTTCTGGAGGAATCCCTCAGTTTTCTCTCTTCACTGATGTCTTCTATTATATGGGTGATCCTTTTATATAGGCCATCCCAATTCTGTATTGCTTCAGCTAAGAACAGACAGAAACCTTGCCTTTTCTATGTTAGATGTTCAAAGGGATGTCAAAATGCACCAAGAAAAAAAAAAAAAAAAAGCAGCATTGGCAATAGATTAAGGAATACATTCAGAAAGGGCAAGAAGTACTGTTCACTGGTGTTTTCTATGCCTGTCATCATGCTTCACTGTTGTTACCCTTAACAAAAAGGCTCAGTTGCATCTATATTGTCTCTACATATACCTCTGCCTATTTAACATTTTTTGATCCATTTTTAGACATGAACTTCTGGAAGAGGCTCGGAGAAAGGGTTTGCCTTTTGCTCAGTGGGATGGACCAACAGTGGTTGCCTGGCTGGAGGTAAGTGTTGGCCATAACACTTACATGTGAGTCACGTTTGTAGGGTGCTTCTGTGTGCTCGTCCTTACAAAGTCTAAAAGAGGCTGTTCAAAGTCTCCTCCTCTCTCCCCTGTGCACTGTGCCATGAGCACTAAGCAGATTTTGACACTGGATGGTGTAAATCAGAGACTAGAGCTGAAAAAAAAGTTTGATGGGATTACACAGGGGGATGAGGACAGGAAAAAAGGCTATTCCTTGTCTATATATTCCCACCTATTCTCATGTCTGCTCTGGGTATCATCCATTGATCATCAGATAGAATTTGTAGAGTTTTACCCTTCAATTAAAAAAAAAAAAAAAAGTCCTTCTCCAAAGCTTTAACAGGAATATGTTCGGGGAATAAATGAAAGATGAGGAATGAAAACAGCTAATGTCTACATTACTGCTTCGTATCGGAATAGCTGAAGGTATCTAATGAAAAAGATGACATGAAAACTGCAGAAAGGCAGTTCAAGCGTTTGAGCATGACCTTGGAAAATGTGATGATACCTTCCTTCCAAAAAAATATCTCTGTGAATATGGGACATTCATTAATTTGGCCACTGCCTGACTTTCTCGTATGACTTTGAGAGTTCTGTAGCCAGATTTGTATCAGTCGGAAATATTCAATGTTACAGTCAAAGCTGATTTGCTGGAAATGTGAACATACAAATGGCTATACATTTCTGAATACTGAGAAAAATCTGCCCTTGACGTCCTCTAGGGTGATCCAAAATTTGAAGACATTTCTGACAAGTTAAGCCCTAATCTTTTTTTCCCTTGATGCTTGGCTGCAAAATAGGATATGCTTCCCACTCTCTGAGAGGGGCTATAAAGAGAAATTGATGTCTATGAACTTCTTGGGAAATACGATGAGAGTAGCACAGGAAAGCCCATGAGGAAGTTTGTTGCAGTATTCAGTGCAGGTTGAATAGTGATGATAAAAAGATATGAGTGCAGAATTGCTGTATTTATTCAGTGAGCATCAGTGCATTCAGTCAGCAGATGACATTGTGTGCATTTCATACTCTCCTGGGGAACATATAATATGTGACCCTTCAACTAAAAACAAAAATTAATATTAAAGGTGATAAGAGCCCGAATTAAAGAAGTATATGTGATTGCAGTTGTGACATTTCCAAGCTTTTCAGTGCTTAACTTTTCAGCCTTAGCATTTTTTCTCGTCATTTGTATGTAGCACAGACATAGTTGAGATATATTTTAAGAACTGTGGGTTTTCTTAACTAGTTCTGGAAAAGTATATCAATGTTGATGTCTGGGTTCTCTGCCTATAACAATTACTGTGCCCTTTTTTTAGAGACTGTTTTCATCTAACTGCATTTTCTGATAGAGACAGCTGTTTGTTAAAGAACTAATTTACCTAATGAGTGGCAAACATTTGAATCTATTTCTGCAGGGTGAATAACTCCCAGTGTTTATGCTTTCCTGCTTTTCAAGTGCATGCATGAAAAAAATTGATGTCAAATTAAGTAAGAATATTAAATACATTTTAAAGCTATAAGTAATTTCCTCATGGCCCTTTGTTTAAGTGCAGCTGGGTGTAATCTACATAATTTTTGGTTTCATTTTTTGACTTTCATGAAACTTTGTATTTCGTTACAGTTAGTTGGAAATAGATCATATCTTTAAGGTTCAGACTCGCATCGGATGGATGGCAGTGGCTCATCCCATCAGTGGGAAGGGCTTTCTGAAACCTGATGCAGTCATTCATCAAGCTCTGTGATACATCAGGAGTCGGTACAGAAAAACCTCACTGAGCTTTTTTGGCATTTGACATGCAAGTCTGTTTTCTCTGTGACATAAAAGTGATCTAACAGCTGCCTTTTAAGTAAATATTTCCCAGATAAGGTATAGACTTGTTAAAAACCACACAGTACTTCCCTGTACTACAAGAAATTAAATAAAAATCCTTTCAATTTGCCTCTGCTTTCCAGATTTGTTGGTGAATTTACTGATGAATTTTGACTAATTTCCTTGACTTTGTGTCCTCTTTCAGTAAGCCATTATTAAGCAAAAAAAAATTAAAATAATGAAATCAGGTAATTCTGATGGCCTATTTGAGATGCCCCTAGCTAGGTCTGTCTTTGTTTTCCATTGTGTTATCACCAAAACCTCAGTGATTATGGCATTCACTGCTTATGTCCTTCTCCCAGTTTTTGCTATAGCATAATGTATTTTGTACTGTGACAAAAACTTCCCACAGGTATGTATCTCTGCTATGGAATTATGTCCTTTGGGAACAAAGAGCTGTAGACACTGACAGTCATATTAGTGAGGCAGCCCAAAATGAGAAGGTTGAGAAAACCAAGAAGAATTCATACTCGGCAGGTCCCAGGAAAGACTGCTAGGAGTGGGGAGTGGAGGGTACCTCTTACAAGGAAAGACTCAGTGGTGAAGCAAGGGGCTGTTGCTACTATGATATTCATATTCATTTGTGTGTATTATGATGCTTATTCAGATTGATAGGTGCCTTGATGATCAATTTCATTTGAGAACTGAAGCAATGCTTTGGGTGAATGTGTCCTTTCTCTCAACAGCTCTGGCTAGGCATGCCAGCCTGGTATGTTGCTGCCTGCCGTGCCAACGTGAAGAGCGGAGCTATTATGTCTGCTTTGTCTGATACTGAGATTCAAAGAGAAATTGGAATCAGCAATCCTCTTCATCGCTTAAAGCTCCGATTAGCAATCCAGGAGATGGTATCACTGACAAGTCCATCAGCACCTCCAACATCCAGAACAGTGAGTCCTGTTCAGCTAACTTTTTCTTCCCCACTTCACCCTGCAGGAGTCTGCAGAAAGACTTTTGTAGTACGAGAGTGGCTCTACGGTAACACACACTTCACAATCAGTGGGAGCTGTCCTACAGAGGCTTAGAAGGAACTCTTTATCAGTCGCTTGATTGTTGATCACTGACATTTTTCCTTAAGCAGATATTCTTATTTTTTGTACATCGTGCTTTTGATTAGCCTTGATGTTATCTAAATGATGAGTATCGAGCATCTTATTTGTGATTTTGCCTGTATTTTTCCCTTTCTCTTCCTTCAAGTCATCTCTTCCAACCAAATCAGATTGTGTTTCTCTCTTTTTTTTTTTTTTCCCTTTTTTAAAAAAATTTATTTATTTATTTTCTTCTGGGAGGGGAGGGAGCAAGACAGGAGTGGGGAGAGGTTATGTAGGAACAGAGCTCTTTGAATCTTGCTCCCATTCCCCCTTTTTGCATCCTTTCAAATGTTACCTCATCGGAGTTGGCTGGCTTTAGGTTCTTCATGCGTTTAAGAAAAGCAGTGATGGGAGGTGTGAAGGGAGAGTCTGGAAGGGAGAAGTGGAGCGTGTGCATCGGTGAGGAAGGGAGAGAGTGGCAGCAGATGGGAAGCAAGCAAGTAAAGAAGAAACGCAAAGATACAAGTATGAAAGGAAAGGGGAATATGTCAAAAAGAACAAGTAAGTAGATTAGGGGAGAGTAGGAATGTATATGGTGTAGATAATAAGCACTGTTTAGTGGAAAATAAAAACAGGCCAAACTGATGAGGAGAAAAAGAAACAAGATAACAAAAGGGGAGTTTCATGCTGAGAGGCTGATGGTGATGGCTATGAAAGAGGCAACAGAGACTGTAACAAAGAGAAGAAAAAAAAAAAGAAAAAAAATGAGGCTTGATCAGATGGAAACATGGCATAGAAGGGAAGGACAAAGACTCAAGTACTGCAGCCCAGACTTCTAACAGTAAGATAATAATAATAATGATGTTAATAATATTATTTACATTTTATAATCTCTTGCCTTAATGGAATTCATGGAGAATCTTTTGGTGGAAATTAGAACTGAGATATCTTTGAGGGGTACCAGATCCATTAAGCTACAGAAGCAACTGGGCAACAGGAATTTAATGTTTCTATTAACTGGCCTTTTATCTTTATGTTGCTAAGGTTCTTTAAATATTAGAGTTCCTCATCTGGTATTTTCTCCTCTCAGTGCAGTTGTATATGTCATAAGTGTGGCAATACTGTGAATCGTAATGGATTTCACCTAAGTAAAGCAGTATAGACTCAACATGATGTTGAATTACTAAACAAAATTAATTTTGATTTTAAAAGTGTAAGAGCATATTTCAAAGCATAAGAGCATTGACATTTATGGAATGAGAAAACAGTACATTCAAGTTAGAAACACTGGGAATAATTTTGCCTTATTTTTTTAATTCTCCCTGAGTAATTGGCAGCACAAAGCTGCCCTGTCCTGGAATGTGCATTTCTGAGTCCCAAGTCTTTCTGCCTCCCCTCTTTCTCAGGAAAGGAATTAATTGTCTTCAGCTGTCAAGAAAACACTGCACACTTCCACACCCCCTCCATGCCTTATCTCATTGTCCTGGTAATAATCTGACTGAAACCAACAGGATGAGGAAAAATAGTTTTACAAGGGAATTCACTTGACATTTTTGATTTACAGAAACGTGGCGGTAATCATTGTTTACATTACAATATGAGTATGTGATGTGTGCAGAATATTTAGGCTGGGAAATCTTTGAGAACTGAAGCTTACCTGCAGACAGAGCTATCAGCTAAAGGTTGTATTTGCCGCTTGTGTGTGAAATGCAGCTTTAATTATTATTCCTTCCTTTGTGACGGTGCTCTGCCAGATTTCATCCATCAGTTCTAGCTGAAATACTCCATCGCGTCCGTTCAGAACCCTCTAACGAAAGATAGAAAATGAGTTGTCTAAAGTTGTCTCTAGTTGCAGCTCGGTAGAGGCAAGAACGTGGTTGTGCTGATGGTGATGCTATACGCTGTTAACTTACAGTGGTGCTGCCTTTCTTCTTTACCACTGCTTACCTAATGTGGATCCCACCTGCCTTCCTGCGGGCCCTCTCCATAGCCCTCAGGCAATGTTTGGGTGACCCATGAAGAAATGGAAAATCTTGCTGCTCCAGCTAAAACGGTTAGTCTTTCCACTTCCATTTCAAATGGTTTCAGTGCTCAAAAGAGAACTAGGACGTACCTGCTTTAACGCAGATGCCATATCTTCTGTGGTATGCTTCCCAGGCATGCCGTTAGAAAGTCGCAGGGAGTAGTGAAATTGAATTTAAAGAACAGTTACATCATTTCTCAGCAAAAGAAATTACAAACTGTTTTGCGATCGTGAAAATTGTGTGAACCTGAAAACAGTATTGGAGTTTTACAGTATGTAATAGTTTCACTGCCAGTGTGAAACCTCATTTAGTGAAATTAAATTGTTGCAGTTTCAGGTGCAACATTTCCCCTGTACTCTATTCTCTAGTGCCTCTTCTAAATATAGTTTTATATCTGCTGAAATAGAAAGAAATAAGAAAAGGCTTGAAAATGGTGTATTACATAACTCGGTGTTTTCATTAATGCTGAGTCTTCCATGTCCATACTTGTGTATTCATGCTCTTTGATTTAGGGTGCATAGAGTGTGTCATTTATTTATTGATTTTTGTCAAACCTATCCCTGCTTTGGGGGTACATAAATAAATATTAATAGATTTTATCCAATAGTTCTTACTTTTTACTTGGAACATATGTTATTTTAGGTTTTGTTTTTAGCATTACCTCATAACAACTCCCTAGCAGTGCTTACAAAACATGATACAATCGCACAGTGAGATGTCTGAAAAACCCGTCTTCAGTTCGGAAAACTTTAGAGACAGCCCAGTCCATAAAGGGTGGGGGAGGTACTGAAGCCAAATTTTGATGCAATAAAGACTTATTTCTTAGAAATTTATGCTAGCTATACTATTTGAAGTTTTCTCATGAATATTCATGAAGCAGATTATCATCAATAATGTTTTTTTACAACTCAGCTCATTTTCAATTTTATTATTGTTGATAAAGACAAATACAAATATAACACTGAACTGACCAGGGGAATTGATCCTGTTTAACTAGCCAGACAGAAGAATACAGTTTTGCCATAAACAAAACTCCTTTACAATACATTCCCAAGAAGACAGTTTTTTATTGTGAATGTTCCAAAATCTAACTAGAAACAAAAAATGGCATCTCTAATGCCCAATTCTGTAATTAAATGGTTGTGTTTTGATTGTGAAGCCATAAAAAGATTTAAGATAATGCTGTAAAGTTTCAACAAGCTATAATGATTTTATATCTTGAAAACTTAGCTACATTTGCCCTACTAAGATTTTATGGGTTTGGTCTTGTAATTTTTAAGGTAGTTTAGCCCAGCTCACTGCCACTGACTAGAGTTAGTTTATCAGCAAATTTTACATCTATGTTTTCATTTGTACTAAGATTAACATACACATGAAACCCACATCTTTTTTATAACTCATTTTTATTGTCTTTTTACCTGCTTTACTAATTGCTTCCTGACTGATAACACAGAAGGAGTCTGAAGAAGGCAGCTGGGCTCAGGTATGACCCTTTCACATTTATTTTTTTTTGAATAGAAAGCTAAGAATGTGATTAACAGTGTATCAATATGCATAGAGGAGTATAGTATTGTGACAGTATCTCAATGATTGAATTATGATTTACACATTTTAGAGTTCTTCTGATACAAGGAAAATACTCTCTGGACAGCTTTGCTAGGTAAAGGACAAAGAGGTACATATGCTGTAAATATTTTTCTTAAAAGAAATGGCTACATTTCAGAGACAACTTCTACCTCCCAGCTAAATCTAGAAAAAATATTTTCTTCATTTCTGAGAATAGGCTAATAAAATATGCCAAGAGTTTGAGATCTAACATTTCTAAAATTACACCAGATTTTTTTTAGAACAATTGTATAAATCACTCCCAAGTATCAGTCTACAAATAGTCTTGTATAAATAGGAACAAAATTTTTCAGTTTAGTTAGACTATCAATTACTTATATTTTCCAGCCTCTTTCTCTCTCTTTAATATATACACACTCTTACACAATCTTACACTCTTTACTTATGGCATTCTTTTTCTCTTCAAAATCTCACAAGAATGAGAGATGAGGGGACTATATTTTCCCCTATAGAATATATATCCAGCTCACACTGTGTTATCCTTTTGTCTATAATGACAGGAGATATTAAAAACAAAACCAAAAAGTTAGGCTTGAAAGTGATGCTCAAAGCTGAGCACAATCCTATTGAAGAAGTGTTCATCTTGCAATTTATGAGTTAAGTTTTAGTAGTTAAGTTTTAGTAGTACAAAATAATGGACGATAGTGAGATGTAAAATCTATCTATTTTGCATCTTAATGGTGCAACCCATATAAAAATAGCTCAACGTGCATGTCTGTTTTTCATACACTTTCTTCTTCACCCTATTGAAATTTCAGCTGAACAATGAAGTAGTTTAATGCCTGAACACCAGCTTCTAGGAGGAATCTGGTTTGCTCCTATCTTAAAGAATTAATTTATTGAGCCTCACATATGATGCGCTTAGGTTTAAACTGTTCACAGCTGAAAATACGTCATTAATAGAATGTGTTTGGTCACCTGCCCTGACTGATGTGAATGTAAGCTTGGCTGACAAACAACCAAAATTAACTTTTAGTCTCAAAAGGACTGTAGGTATGTAACCATGAAGTGTCATTAACTCCTCGTTAGGAAATCCTAGCCCCCGCCGAACAGTGACACAAACTTCAGTTGATTCCCTGGGGCCATGTTTGTATTACCCAGTTCAATGTAGGATTTGCCTAGCATAAATGGTCAATTGAAAGGAAGTAAGATTATGAAACAAAACACATACTGATTGTGTAATAAGTTTGCATTTAAAACTCAAAATTGAAACTCTGATTTCTTATTACAAAAAATTACTTAAAGTTTACAAAGACAGAAAACAAGACACAACAGGCAAAACTACTATCAGTAACCAATAGCTCACAATGGCTTCCACCTCCAATGTCAAAACAATATAAAAATGGAATTTTTTTCTTTTTTTAGACAGGATTTCTAAGCTAGGAAGTCTCACTGGAAATGAGCATAGCAGATAGATATTCTGCCTTCAGTCTGTGGTGCAACCTTGAACAAACTCAAGAATTTATTCCCCCTCTCTCTTTTTTTTTTTTTTTTTTTTTTTTTTTTCCCACACACCCTGTAGACCCTGGCCTATGGTGATATGAACCACGAATGGATAGGTAACGAATGGCTCCCCAGTCTGGGTTTACCTCAGTACCGAAGTTATTTTATGGAATGCCTGGTAGATGCGAGGATGTTAGATCACCTGACAAAGAAAGATCTGCGTGTGCACTTAAAAATGGTGGATAGCTTTCATCGGTATGTTGGCATAAAGACTACACCTATAAAGACGTTTATGTGTCTGACATAGTGCTTAGAGCTGCACAGAATAAAAACACTTACTTTCTGTTGTTCTAGTGTGGTAAACCACACAGAAAAGTGAGTGCTGTCAGAAATCTGAATTGAAAGAGATTCCTTCAGTAATACCAACCGCATTATAATTATGTCTCTCAAAACGAAGATAATGGTAATGATAAATTTTGTAATGAGCAGGGAACCATTAATATATAAATAAAGCCTTGACAATATAGAAACAGTAATAATTTATTAAAAGTGGTTTAAAGTATCAGAAAGTGGTACGCTAAGATTTGAAACCCTGAAATCTCACAATAATGAAAAAGCTATTGTGCTTAGCACATAAAAGCTGTTAACAGTACAAGCAAAGTGACAGTTGTTCGGGTTATCTAGGGATATAGCCAAGAAGCTAAATTGGAAATATGGAAATAAAGGCATTTAGACTTTAGGGAGAATGATGTCTATGTGACAAGAAGTGGATTTTTTTTATTGTACTGTCTGATTTGTCACTTTTTTGAGGCCTGATTTGACAAAACATTTCACAGCTCAGAAGGGCTGACCTTTTCTGAGTACAATTTTTAATGTTTTGGGTTTCTTATGCTAGAATATTTATTCAAACATACTCATTCTGGTTTTGTCCATTTCATTTTTGAAATCTGTGGAGTTTTTTTAATGGTTTTGCTCTCCTCTCTGTCCTCAAGATTTACTACATGGGTACCATGAAACACTTCATGTGAAATGCGGGAAATACATCCTACATATGTTCCCATCTTCAAAATTATCTTTATTAACTCTGTAAATGTTTCTCTTTAAATAACAGAACAAGCTTGCAATATGGAATCATGTGTTTAAAGAGGTTGAATTATGATAGAAAAGAACTGGAAAAGCGAAGAGAAATGAGTCAGCATGAAATAAAAGGTGATAGTTCCTGGGAATGAATACTGGGAATGTTTCTTCTTTTGAAGCTTGACACTATTAACCCCTTGTCATGCCATTTTAGCAAAGCATTTAAGCGTGTGCTTTGAGTAAAACTAATGTAAGTCCATCTGTCTTCAGACACAAAATATCTCCTTAAATTAGGCACAGTTAAGTACTTTGCTAAATTGAGGCTGCAATTCCGAATGGCGGTTTGATACATACATTTTACTAAATTGGATTTTTGGGGACAGATCTTATCCTAGCCTCTTTTAGTCTCAGGAACAGAAGGCCAAATAGTCTGCAGCTCAATGGGATGTGCTGGGGGCAAGACTGCGAAATGGGAGCACTCAGGACCCTAACACTGTGCTCCTGCTTTTGAAACGCCTTGCCTTTGATTTCTTACTTCAACATGTGTATCATAGAAAACGTTGCTTGGAGAGGTGGCCACTGAGGCAGTTGGTTGGTATATAAGGATAGTTCCTAACAGAATTGGCCTTATTAGAAGATTTAACAACTGATTTTAAAGTACTTTTCTGTGTAAAGCTCTCTAGAGCAGTTGCAGGCTCACTGCAGGGTTCCTTTTATGTATAACAATTAGGGTTGTTGGGGATTTTTTTGTTATCAGAAGTGAATCTTTTGATTCCTTGAAGCATTTCCAGCTCTAGCAAGTACAGCAGTGCATACTTCTCAAGCACAATGCTGATTGGAAGAGCTAAAAAAAAAAAAAGGGAATTAGAAGGGAAATGGCTACAGTGAAAGCGTGCAATTGCACAAGGCAGATGAGGGCATGCACTAATGCAAAGCCATTGCCTTGGATGTCGAGACATCAGTGTCAGTCAGCCTGAGTGGGTATAGCTGGAGACTGATGCAGGGAAATGGGGTATTGGTCTCAAATTCTGATGTTGCTTCAATGCTAGTCGCCACTAGGATAAGGGTAATAACCCATAGCCTCCTTCACCCCGTTGTACATCAGTCAGACACGGTCCCAGGTGGGATTTGGTCTCAGTGATCCCTGGCTGCCAGGCTGTGTTTCAGCTGATCCTGACCCCAAAGTCTGGGATGCTGTTGGTTAGGCGATGGAGAATGCCTGCTCCCAGAACAGCTACATTAGCTGGACTTCTAAGGGTTCAGGAAAAAGCCTCATCACTTAGTAACACAAAACGCAGTATTACATTACCCATGCATAAGTATAAAGATCAGTAGAAGTAACATTCTTTTAATCTTATGTGCAGGGTAGGATACTTTTTTAATAATAGCCAAATCCTCAAAAATGGTTTCCTAGTTCATTTTTTTGCCTTAGCTTTATAATTATCATGGACCTGAACAGCTCAACCAGCTTTCTGAACTAAAAACAGTTTTAGTCTCTAAAATTGTGAACTCATTTTTTGCTTTATGGCATGTTATAAAATGGTAGGTGCTGACCTGACTCTTAAAATGTTTAATACAAACCTCTCAAGTGAAGCCTTGAGGAATGGATATTTCTCCTGTGCCATTGCACTGTTGAACTGTAAAATCTTGTCTAAGAATTGAAAAGGGCATCCATAAGAGGTGGGTGGAATTGCATTCTGGAGATGGTCTCTGGAGGCACCTTTTTCCTTTGGAAACTTTAAACATTTAACTCAAAGGTAGCTAAAATCACACAGGGTTTTGAATAGGAGATATTAAAGCTATATGACTAGTTTGCTGGCATTCCTCATTTAAGAAATAAAGCAGGATGAGGTCCACAGTGCATGCACAAGTCCATCCATTCACCTGTACAGTTTGGAAGTTACTGGGCATCAGGAGACTGAACTGGTGTTATGTCCTTACAGATGTGCTGGTATGGAGCAATGATCGAGTCATACGCTGGATACAAGCTATTGGGCTCCGAGAATATGCAAATAATATTCTAGAAAGTGGTGTACATGGTTCACTTATAGCACTGGATGAAAACTTTGATTACAGCAGTTTAGCTTTATTATTACAGATTCCAACACAGAACACCCAGGCAAGTTTGCTTATGCTACTTCTGGTTAATCTGTACCTATTATTGCCTTTTATTCATCTTCAACCATTTTAATTTTTTACTTTGGTATCTCTAGGCACGGCAGATCCTTGAGAGAGAATACAACAACCTTTTAGCACTAGGAACTGAAAGACGACTTGAGGAAGTAATTGATTTTATTTTCAGTATTTATAAAGTATCACAGTAAAACATAAAAATTAAATTGAATGCATGAAGAGATGTTAATTTGCACATTGTTAAAAAAAAGAGTCAGTTACAGCTTTAAGGAAAAATTAGGAAATGCAGCCAAGGTTTTTAAAGTAACCTCAGTATGACTACATATTCATATCATTTTGGATGCTAAATTTGGCACTGCACTCTTACCTTAAGATGGACATTTTCATAGACGTATGTAAGATGAACATGTTTCATAGAGGAAACACGCAGGAAGGAGTGCAAGTTTCACTGGCCAGAGCAAGTGGCGAGGTGAGGCGGGGGGGGATGCCTGTGCAACCTATTCTTTAGCACACTTACACCTTTTATTTAAAAGTAAAGAAGAAAAGTGGATTTTGGGTGGGTTGTTGTTGGGTTTTTGGGTTCTTCAAAGTTAATCAATATGTAATAGAATGGGATTTGGGCAGTTATCTAGGATGAGGAATCTTAAATCCACCTATGGAAAATATTCATCTTAAGAATCCAGTGTGAAAATGTTCAAGTCTTGGACTTCTGCATGTGAGGAGGAATAAATCTTTTAAGGACGTGCTGAAAATGTGAGATGCCTATGAATTCTGTGCATGCACATGTGTGTTTAATTCTTTATTAGCATTTTACATAAGCCTCCTAATGCAGTAACAAACCACTGCACTTTCTGTCACTGTATTTGGAAGAGATTTGACTTTTAAGAAAGTTCTACTTTAGCTGATGCTAAAACCTTCTACTATATCAAGCCAGAGATTTAAGAAGGGTTGTCCACCCTAGCATTTAATATATCTAAAGCATTTACTTTTACAAGAGTGTCTCAAACGCACTGCAGTTACTGGATACAGTGCATCAGAGCAGGGTAGTTGTGGAACACATGTGACAGTGGGAGAGGCAGCAGGATAATTAATCAAAAAATTTCATTTTGCTTTACCAAATACAACACTGTGTTGACAGAGCGATGACAAGAACTTCAGACGTGGCCCTTCCTGGCGACGACAGTTTCCTCCGCGTGAGGTTCATGGGATCAGCATGATGCCGGGCTCCTCGGAAACGCTGCCAGCTGGGTTCAGATTAACCACGACATCAGGGCAGTCACGGAAGATGCCGACTGATGGTATGCAGTCATTTCTGCACTTTCTGTTGAAAAGCAAGAGGCTTATTTTAGCATGCTAAATTGACTTTTAGCGCATGTCTGTCTTGCACCAGAACAGCTGCGTTCATGTAACTAGGATGAATGGAGTCTGGGAGAGTTGAATTAGGGAATGGAAAAGCAGTGACTTGGCATACTACTGATTTTTTCAGGTTTGCTTCAGACTGTCAGTGTTTATTTAAAAAAAAAAAAAAAAAAAGGCCATCTAGTCATCCTAGATCTGCAAAGGAAACATTTAGAAAGAGAGGAATTCATTTACTGACTTTCATCTAAGATTGCATACAATATCTAAGCAATTTTTTCAGCTCATTAGCCTCTCTAGCAGGTGGAATGTGTTTTAGAGAATGAACTCAGAAAGGGCTGTCACCATTATTATCCTACTTGACTTTCAAACTAACTAGCTTAGCCTTGACCATCAAGTAACTCAAGTTGTTAACAATTAGTAACAATCAGGTTGTTAGTGGAGTTAGCAAATACTGAATTTCAGATACTAATTGAGTTACTGTATACCAGTCTTAATTTTCTCTGGAAATCTTTTAATTTCCAAAAGATGCACGAACTCAGCAATGATTGGAAAAGTAACAAGCAGATCATAATTAAAAAATAAGTAAAATTTAAAAATCATTGTAAGAGGGCAGGGAGAAGGGACAAATCTCATTGTGGCTATTCCTTCAGGCATATGAATGATAAAGCCATGTATACCTGCCTGAAGTTCTCAGAAGTACCAGTACACAGATTGGCCCATTTCAAATACTGCTGTTTATTTCCTATTGAGAGAATTTAGGTCTATGAATAGACTTTCTCAAAGTAATTTAATACACTGCTTATAGTGATTACATTCTGTAACTCCTGAATGAACTTAGTATGACAATATTGCCATCTGAATTCCATTAAAGCCATCTAAATTCCATTAAAGTTTCTCACCTTTAAAACTAATACTTTAGAGCTGCAGTTAGAGATGGAATAATTTACTGATTGCATCACTGAATTCCATTGACGCCACTGCTCATGTGCATGCTTTGCTTTTAATCCTGTACTTTTTGCAATGATGAAGCTGTATGACAAGAGTCCATTCCAAGGCAAATTCCATGTACAAATAAAGGTACTGGCTCCCTAGGCATTTCCATGGCCAACATTACTGTAGTAGCTAAAAACCTTACAAACATTCACAGATTTCATCTTCTAGCCATGCTATGATGTAGAAGATATTATTCCCATTTTACAGATGAGGAACTAAAGCACAAGGGAGAGTTAGCGATTTACTTGAGGTCTTCCAGACAGTTTATTATTGACCTGGGTACTGAACTCAGTAGACTTAAAGGTAGGTAGCTTTGAGGACCTACATCTTTATCCAGGATTTGGCTTCCTATCTCTGAGTGCTAGGAATGCTATAGTATTTAAACAGCATGATAGATACATTATTAGGACTTCCAACAAAATAAAGACAAAATTGAGTTTTAAACTGTATTCACTTAAGACAGATTTCAATAGTACACCAGACATGAAGAAACTCTGAGTTCTGAAATAGACCATGCCCAGATCATGTCATAGAAAGCCACAGAGCAATTTAATAGCCTCCCTTTCCAGTGGGAAACAGACTGATTTATTTTCTTCATGATTCTAAAGAGGTTCTGGTTTGTTTCTTTTTTCTTGCAATTTGCAGTTGCTTCATCACGACTGCAGAGGTTAGACAGCTCAACAGTTCGTACATACTCATGCTGACAAGGCCTAGCAAAGAAGCCAGCACTGAATTGTTGTGAGTATTGCTAAGGGGCCATCATGAAAGCTCTTTATAACTGTACACTACACCCAATATTCCTTGGCATTATTCAAGCAAGAGCCAGCATGGAGCAGAGGACCTAACTCATACTCACTAGGGTGATCATTTGATCATGACAGCAGTCTCAAGCTCGGTTCAGGAGATGCCACGCTATTCTTTTCCTCATCTCCAATAGCAGGTTCTTCCTGCTGAAACCACTTTAGCAATAAGACAAAAGTTTTCAGACAACTCTGTTCAGATGATAGCTCACCAACCATAGCGTATTTTGTACGTTCTCGAACTTAAAGCTAGAATTGGGGAGACAGCAGTAGGCACAGGGAGTTAATTTACTTTATGAGAACTTGAAGGAGTTCTACCAGGAGCTGGGGGGGGGGGGGGAGAAGCTAGCAAAGCAGAAGAGATTAACTTTTTTTTTTTTATGAGAGATATGGCTCAATTTAGCACATCAGGTAGCTGCATAAAGCTAGAACAAAACTTCCCCTATACGGAAAATCTTCTAAAGTTATCTATTACAGAGATTCTTGCACTTCTCAAGTCATTCAGAATTGACCAGTGACAAAGAAAGGATATTCTAAGATGGGTGCAACTTTGGATCAAATTTAGTACTGGAATTCCTGTTGCATTTCTCACCACTTATCTTTTGAATACGGCTATGAATCTCACAGATTCACTCTTCCAGAGTTCTGTGGAAATACACTGTTTTCTGCTCCATCACAAGTTTTGCAAAAAATACTAACATGATGAGCGCTTTCATCAATATGGCACCATTTCATGCTAATATTTTCTCAGTAAAACAGTTTTCTTTTCCATTTAGTCACTCAGGGGATTGCAGGGGAGCTGGAAAGAATATTTGGATAGCACCAAAACCTCACCAGGCATTAAATATGCTTCGGCAGCTGTTACAGATTGTAGGCAAGACATGCTGAGACCTGCAGAAAGTCCCTTTTTTTAGGATTCCCAAGACTAGGAGAGGCTTGGGGCCATCAAGATTTTACTAATTCTGAGCAGGTTCATAAAGTGCTTAGGAAGAGCAAATGTTACCAGTGGGAAATGTAGATTGCTTAGGATCCTACTGATGACATGAGCCTTACCTCATAGATCTTCAGGAAACTGCAAGAGTATAAAATCTTGATCTAGTAGAAAAGGGAACTTTTCATGCCACCACTGAGAAATAAACACAGAGATTTTTTTTTTTTTTAAATAGGTAAGTTTAGCAGCTGGTCCTACAAAGATGATGATGAAGCATGTAAATTATATAAATATTTTTATGTGTATGTATGCATAGATTAGAGCTTGGTGTTATGTCAGTAAAGTCAATGACAGACCTCTCACTGGGTTCAGTGGGGGTAGAAACTGATAGCAGAGATGTGTATCTTTTCTCTTATATCCTTCAGAATTGCAATGTTGAAAGCAATAAAGTATGACCAAGAAATTAAGTTCAAACACCAAGCTATCTATTAGGCCAACAGTAACAGGCCAGGCACATGAGGTGATATTTTCCAATAGGTTTGAAGAGTGCAACAAGGGCAGAAATTTAAAATTGGTATGTTAACAAAAATTAAGATTATCCAAACTGTTTATTCCCACTGTATCTAAGAAATGTCTAAAGTTGCAATCCACAAACAGAAGCAAAGTAGCAAACTTTGCTGGCACTATATGTATATGGGAGTTAGGTATTTTGAGCAAAAAGGTGTTTATACAAAGTTATACAAGCTAACTTCAATTTTTATAGGAGTATTAGTAGTGTTTCAGGTATCACTAATATGTATTACATTGGTACTTGCTGCTTGTCCACAATTCTGCCAACTACATTTTAATCTTAAATGCTTGAGAGCTCTATATCAAATTTACATCTAAATTGTAAAGACTAATATACTACTTCTTCTTCTTTTCACTTACCATATACTCCTTTTAGAGAAACAACAAGATGGTGTGAACTAGAACTTTAGTATAAATACTGTTCATAAATGCAATTTCAAAATGTCATGCAAGTTAGAAATCAAGAGCAAGTTAAAATAATTTGGGATTTCAGTAAATTATATAGAAAATATGCAGGGGAAAAGCTTTCCTTCATTATTATATCAAACTTGAAAACTTAAGTTACCTGAATCTCAAGGATGAGCGCATAAACAAAAACTGCTCATAGACGGGATGTGAAGTTGGTTGAAGGGTAACAGAAGAGTTTTCAGAATTTTGTGATCATAGTTCCTGAGTAACAGTTTCTTCACGGAAGGAACTGATTGATACTTGGACTAAAGAAAGATTATTCATGACGACATGCCTCCTGAAATTTTCCAGATCCAGGTCAGACTGAGACCCAGGCTTGTAACACCTTGCCTAGAATACATCAGTAGCTGCGTTACTCTGGTGACTAAACTATCTGCACTTATAGAATCAGAGACTGATTCCAACTAAGAAGCAGAGGGGATGGATAGCTGGATGAGCTGTCACACAATAGCAATATAAGAAAAATTTTAATATAATGAAGGGGAATACGCATATGAAGAGCAGGCTGAAGAGAGAGCTGCGAACAGGTTGCACGTGGAACAAATGAGATGGCCTGTGATCGCAGCAGGCTGCAGACGCTTGCATTCTGCTACGCACCTTTCTTAGAATGTCAAAGCCTCATATTTCAAAATAGTTTATGCCAACAATACCAATTAGGTACAACCTTACAGTGTCTTATGGTGTTTCTTCACAATGGCTGGGTTCAATTCATATACTTTCAAGCTGCGTTTTGGGTATTTTTTTAAACATTTGTTGAAACCACCATGACCAGCTGCCAGAAACCATGAACTGACGTTCTCAGAACAGTTACACAAGCATACTCTGTGCAGCGCAGTCTGAGTGCCCTCTCAAGGTCAGAAATTTAAGAACATTTAAGACTGCTGATGTCTGGCCATTTAACCTTGCAAAGAAGTTTACCATAGAGCACATGGGAGAGGGTCAAGCTTTCTGCTGTGATGGCTGTATGTTGCTCAGCTGAGCATTTGCAATGCCATTACACAGCCAGTGGATTTGGCAGTCACGCTGTCTAAGCTTTCCTAACACTTTTCTCTTACAAAATACTTGTCACCACCAAGTCAGAAGGCTCAGTCAGGACAGTTTTCTTGCCGCAGGCTGGGGCAACAGAACATGCTAGTTTCACATTTATTCTAATGAAATGTCAAAGGAGATTTAGCAAAATCAACTATGTACTTTATCAATGAAGGGTTCCAAAGAGGATTTGTAAAGACAGATGGAGAAGCAGCGTTCCAAAAAGATGTGAATGATAATCTGGAAACAGCTGGTCCATAGCAAAGAAATCATCAGGGTGAAAAAGGTAAATGCTGTTGAGCTGCAGTGAACAAGGAGAATCACAGAGTACATCAGCAAGGTCTATACACTTAAAATGTGTCTTCAGCCTTGTGCCAAACAGGCAAAGGTTTCCAGATGCAGGAAACTAACCCCAGTGCCTAATCAAAACAGCAAGAAAACAACTGTAAAATGAACATAAGCAGGAGTCTGTTTTGATCTAGGACAAATCAGTATACATTAGTAAAAGATTAAAATGCATTATTAATAGATTTATGTTGCAGATCTAAAATTAAACAACAAATGTTATGTCTCCCTCAGATACTCAAAACTCATGTTTTCGTAAAACATACAATAGCTTGCTTAGTGCTATAATATTTTCTGGTGTCATTGCATCCTAGACCAAATTAGAATCAAAGAATCTTGCTAATTAATGTTTGTTTATTTTTTCCCTTAGATGTCATCTCTTTCTTCTACTTTACCTGAAGTGCACTACCACTACTTAGGAAAAAGCGCATTTAAACTCTCTGCAAGAACAGGGTAATAGGGAAGAGAACACAAAGTTTATCAGACAAACAGATATGATGTTCCTTTCATTTATTGGTTAGCTTAAAACAAGAATAAAAAAAAACAAACCTAAATTACTACAAAAAAAAAAAAGAAAAAACAAAACAACCTCCCCCTTTCCTCTCAGCATCTCTGTCATCAGAAATTTGGCAGTAGTGCACATCCAAAGCTTTTATCAAATGAAGCCGCTCATTTTTACATTGTTCCATCCGTTTTATTGTAAAATACTAGACATTTACGTATTTACTGTGTATGTATTTCTTTTAAAATGTGTAAGTCTTATGTAAATGGATATAAATATGATTTTTTAAAAATAAAATCTATGGTACATGGGGTCTCAGTGCAAACATTTGACAATGCAGTGTCAATAATACTGTTTGTATCTTTCCATTCCACCATTTTTACAGTTTTTGGATTGTAACAGTCAAATTAATATGTTTAGCAGAGTTAGAAGCTTCAACATGTTCCTACTGAGAAAATCTGTCAATATTTAAAGCTGAACACCTGCCTCTGATGTTGTATAATAGAGTGATATAACCTGGAACTGGAGCCAAAATGGACCTCTAAAGACAAAATGGAAATGTTAAGATATCTATAGAGAAGCACCATGATGGCTCACCTCTTAAAAACAAACAAACAAATAAACCCAGAAGAACTGTTTACAAAAAAAAAAAAAAAAAGCAATGTAATAAAACATGATTTATAAAAAAAAAAAAAACAAACCACAAACAAACAGAAACTTTCTTCTATGTTACCTGCGGACCAAGAAGAATCTTGCTTTACTAAGAGCCACGTTTTCGTTCCAGGATCTTCAGACACCAGCCAGCATTGGAAAATTAAATCTAATATTTGCATAGAATCAGATTCTCGTTTCCAGATATATTCAACAAAGAAAGAGAAAGAAAAGAGAAGGCAAACCCTACCATTTCTTCATTATAACAGGGCATTAGACAGGCTCCTGTCTAATGTTATGCTTTTAGCCAAGATGGCCTTGCTGAGACTTCACAGAAGTCAGTTTTATCAGAGGAAATAACTGAAAGACAGAGTGATTAATATATAATGTATAAAAGTTTAGAAGAGCAACTATTACCTGCTGTGGCTTTATTTGGTGGTGTTATTGTTGTTTATTCTTTGTTTAAATGGGAAGTTTCAAAGTAAGACCTACTTAATAGTCATTTACCTATTTGCTATTTTTCTGCTGCTTGATCTTAAGCTCAAGACCTGTCTTTTAGTTATTTCTTTTAGCAGTTTGATCTGCAATGTTTGCACGTACATAAACATTTGTTTTGTCTATTTTCATTTGGCAGACTTCAGTCAATCAGATGGTGAAAGATTTTTCTCCCCCAATGTCAATAAAAAAAAGAATTCAGTGCTATTTGTGTTTATAAGTCTATTAAGCTTCGTACATAGTAGCATTAAAATAGTTTGGGTGCTAGAGACGTCTCACAGCTAAGCGTAAGCACAAGCTGCCTTTAACAGGCATGAGTTATGATGGATTTACTGGTCAGAAGCTGCCAGGAGAGGGAGCACGGAACTTGCTGATGGGTGCAGTATGATGGCTATGATGGATATGATGTTAGCACACAGCTGTAGAGGGAGATGGCTCTTACGTACCCTTCCTCGGGCTTAACCGACATCGGTGCCGATGTTCCTTCTTCTCCTCCCTCAGCCTCCTTTCGGATTATTTTAGTCCAGAGTGTCATGAAGTAAAGCAATGCAAACACCATTTTCAGTGCTTGCAGTTATCATTTGAATACACTTCCCCTTGTAAACGCCAGCTCTCATTTTTCAGAATTTCTTTTGCAGCCCACACTCACATTTGACCTGCTTCTATGACCAGGTGACTCACTTGG